CACTGGAATATAGTCGCTTTAACATCATAAGCAGGAAACTAACTGACTCAAGTGTGCAAAGGACGCATCAATTAATAGTAGGCAATTGTTTGTGTTTATATTTATTTATAGTGTCAATGTTTTCTATCACCTTTAATCCCGCTCGTTTATGACCATATTTGGTAATGTTTACAATCTAAGTAGGTTTTTGATAATGTTTACAATAAAGATAGATTTTAGATAGATAACACATTTAATAATGTTTATAATATGGGTAGATTTAAATTAGATTATTAAAAATTTTTCAAAATGTGAATTTTCATAGATATGCGGCCCGTCTAAGTTTTGCTGAAATGACAAATGGCCCGCAAACTTAAAAAGGTTGGTCATGCCTGGTGTAGGGTATATCGATTATGACTCGGATTAGGTTTCATATTCATCGTGTATCATGGTAAGTAAACTACCAGTGTCGATATTTTAGAAGAGAGCTAATATAATATAAGTAATATAAGTACGATGATAGCGCAAGTAATGTACACATATACCAATACGCGCTGTACCCACCCGCGCTACATACGCTGAAAATACTCCTTGGTATAATAAAAAAAATTTAACAAAATAAACAAATTGTAATCAGTATGTCTACATTAGTGAAAAAATTTAAGTCACTTTTCGACCAAATAGTTTTGAACTTAACCATTATATTATTTATCCCATGAAAGTTTTTTTTTTTTTTTTTTGGTTATTCATTATTTATAGGCAATAAACTACGCTTAGATATAAATGTACGAAGAATTCGAAAAAGGTGTAAAAAAACATTAATCAATTAACGAAAAATTATATATATTTTATTAACAAAATTAACATAGGTTTTTCATTTTAGAAATAAAGACAAACAAATTTAAGACATTTCACTTATCTGACGAGTACAAAATGTAATTATGTGACAAGAAGTCGGTTTCTTGTAAGGGGCCAACTTATTTATTAAGATAAAAATTCTTAATAGTTATATGATTTCAAATTATTTTGTTTAAGGCTGTTCATTTACACACTCGAATTCTTCAGTTATGTCTTTTGCGATAATATTCGCAGCAGTATGAAAGTCCTCTGGTGTCATTATTGGAGTAGTAATAAACAATTTTTGAAGTTCAATACTTTTTACGCTATTGAAAAATGAATGATTTTCTATTCTATCTTCTAGTTCTTTTTTTTCTAAAAACTCATTGTATAATATATTTTCTAAATTGTTATTTTTCACAATTATTTTAGTTTCTTCTTCATTGTCATATGCAAACTCAAATTTATTGTAAACAAAATAATTTTTAATTTTAAGCTTCAAATATCTAAAATGATTATATATTTCACTAATATTTGTTTTCAATTGACCATACGTAAAAAACTCTAATTCTTCTTTTATTAGAGGATCATCTATTTGACAATTTTGCATAAAAGTATTGATACATGTCAAGGTTTCTTTCATTTTTTTTACTATGTACCAACCAGGGATTACCATTAGGCTATTATAAAAGTAACTTGCTAATAAGTAATAATATTTATACGCCCTGATTTGTATTGCCATTTGTAATTGCTCTAGTTTTGCATTCTCCAATAGGCTTTCATTGGATAAGTTTGATAGAGTGTATGAATGTTGGCAGTAAACAGTAAGAATAACGATTGCACTCAATATTGATTTCATCTTAATTACCTAGCTTTTAGTTATTTTATAAAGGTTTTTAAGTTGTATTGAAATATGTATAAAATGTATAAATTTTACTACGCACAGAATAATTTTTTGCTAGAAAATTGTCGTGAGTATTTATATAAATACATACGAAGCAAAATTTGTATTGTTTTTGAAAGAATATTCTATAAAAATATAGGCCTGTATTATTTGTACAGATTGAGTTTGAAAATAAACAAATTGTGAAAAATCACACATGTTGCAATAGTCGCTATTTTTTGCTTTAATATTTGCAATTTTAATAACTTTTATCAAATTTCAATATAACTATTCAAATTTTAATAGAGTTTTTCAACGCAGTTTGTTTTCTAGAAATTCAATTTTTTCACGATCAGCATAGTTAGGTCCAGTATAAGTTTAATCTGACGGTGATTAAAATCACTATCATAAGAAACGCTTTGATGAAAATCTGTAGATAGTATTTAATTCTAAGAAATTGGCGGATAATTACAAATGCAACATCCACTTCTATTTCTTTAATTATATCCAGATTAGTAATTATTAGATTTAAAGATATAATATATAATTTTTATAATTAATTGATTTCAAATTATTATTGATTTTGATTTTCAATATGTTAAAAGTAATCATTTATAACCTACTTTTTTTTTGTAAAAGTCTATAATAAAAAAAAAAAAATGAATTTATTACCATAACTTTAAGCTCAACTTGCAATTTTAAAATAACATGTTTTTTTGCATATAATTACACAACAAAATAGCAATTATTTGTACATAAAAAATAGGGCAAATTTAATTTTTTTTATTTTTAAAAGTAATGTCATCGACTAGATACGATTTCTGATCTTTTGACGTACGTTTAAAAAAAATCGTTCATAGGCACAAAAAAAAAAAAATGAATATTTTCTCAGTATTGCATCGAAATTAAAAGTGAAAAAAATGACAAAATTTATTTGGAGATTTCCCATATTTACAGGGAACAAGGGAAAGTTTTTCAATTTTTAAGGGTAATGTCTTCAATTAGATACGATTTTTGATCTTTTGACATATTGTTCATTGAAATCGGTCCAGTGAGAGCTGAGAAAAAGTGCAAAAAATAATGTAATAGATATGTTAATAAATATCAATAAGAGAGTAGTTTTTGATACTTACATAAAAGTTTATAAAAAAGAGTTTATACATGTAATTGTTTTACAGAAAAAAGGTTATTAGCGAAAAAGTTATAAGTCAAATATTAAACTCACAATCCACTAAGAAGGAAGGTTTGTAATTTACACAAAGAGCTCCAGAAAAGATTTTGGGAATTAAAACTTCGCATAAATATCAGCATGTGAATGAGTACAATAACTTATATGTTCCAAGCAGAGGTAATGGCAATACTAGTAAGGACCCAGAACTTGCTAGTATTTAAGAAAAGGAACATAATTATCCTAAGTAATAGTCAAGTAGCTCTGAAGGCACTTAGTAATAATCAGATGACTTCAAGGCTAGTCCTTGAAACTTCTCTAGTCTTCTATACCAAACACTGGTTTAGAAAACAATACAGGAAAATATGATGTTACCTAAAGGTACCAAACAATCAAAAATGTTTATCAAAATATACTACTATTAAGAGATCTTAATAACATGACTTATTTTCAATAAAATGAAAATTGTTGTCTTTTTTTGTTACAAATCATTTTTATGATAGTTATATTTAAAATAAGTAAATCTGTTTCACAAATTGAAGTATATTTTTATGTCAATTCAATTTTTTTTTAATTTTAATAAATTTTTCTATTAATTCAAGTTTACATTATTACTATTAATTATATTAATAAAAATTTCGCAAATACTAAATTATTGTTTTTTGCATCACATTTAGTTTATATTATCATTATAAACAAATTAAAAAAATAAAATAAGATGAAACAAATTCAGTCAATATAATTTATTTGACTCGTTACATATTTTTTTTTTCAAATTGTGGCTAAAATATTGATGATACAGAAAAACTAGTAACATTTTCAAAACCAGCACCAGATGACTTAATATAATGAAAAAAAATTTACATAAACAACTATGGCAGATTACTTGTCATGTTGTGTAATTAAAAATGCAAGTGAAATAATGTGACAGCTCCAATTATTTGTAAAATAAAGTTTCCCTACTAAAATTTTCATTTAAGGATAATTAACTTAAGATTGTATAGACTAATATCTAATAGAATAAGAAAATATTGTTATGTAAAGAAATATAAAGTATCCCATCATGTTGTAACATCTTTAATCATTTTTGATCCATAAAATATTTTGGTCTACATTTTTTTTTTTAATAGTTTTTACATTTTTGTACTATGTTAAAAGCATATGTTTTATTATTTGTTTCTAATAAAAAAATAATAATGCAAAATATTTAATGGATCAAAAGTTGTTGAAGATGTTAGAACATGATGGTACACTTAAATACTTTTTTAAGTTACTTTTTTTTAGATTTGATACGAAGCTGAGAAGGTATTTTTTAATCATGATGTATGTTTTTTTTTTGTGTCTGTTGCCACTTTTTCTCAGCTTTCACTGGACCGATTTTGAAGCGTTTCTAATAATAGTGATTTTAATCATTGTCAGATTAAATCTATACTGGACCCAACTATGCCACGTCCCCACTGTGCCGCGACCCCACTTGTGTTGGGTTTTTTTCAAATATATTTTTTAATTTTTAATTATTCAAAACTTATTATTTATAAATTAATTAATATGTTTAAATTTTATATAATATAAAATATAATATTTTATAATTATTTATAAATAAATTTATAAATAATTATCATTAATTAGTTGTTTTTCTAAAAAGACAAACTTTGGAGTCATGTCAACCACGTATTTATCTTACCTAATTTGTTCTAATTTTTGTACAGATGTTATTTCCAAGTAAGATACACTATATTGTGAGGACCATTTTATATTTTGGATTTAAAATTTTAATGTCTTAAGGTATATTGTAGAAATGAATATAAAAAAGTTAACTTTAAGCCTTAATAATACAATGTTTGTCATTTTCCTTATCCTTCAAGTTAGAGACCAATAACATTTTTTGTTATCACGTGATTTCAAAACAAGAGGATTAAAAAAAAATTTGAAAATTGAGTAACACTAAGTAGTTATTTTTTTCGATCTTGATGAATATGTATCAATTAATTTATAAGAGTTTTATTAAGTTTTGATTATCATAATTTTATCAACAAATTTATTCTAATGAACTTAAAATAAAATAAAATAAAGATGAATATTGATGAATTTAAATATTAATTATAGTTACTAATATTTATTTAAATACGGTTTTAATATTATTTATATTTATTTACAAAGATTTATATTGATTAATATTATACAAATTAATAAAAAATTAAACTATTGATCAAAATATAACATTAAATACAAATAACATGATTTTTTTCACTCACTCATCGGTATTTTAAAACATAATAAATAAATAAATAAATAATTACTTGAAATAATTACTACTAGATTTACAGTCTTATACGTGAGCGAAATTTTTGTCTATAATACATTCAAGACTAACTTAACAACCATAAATTAATCCTGATGCAATAGAGTATTGAATATATACATGAATAAATAATATTAAAACTATAATGCAACCATTATAAATACAGATGTTGCATTTTGCTGTTAAACGTCACAGATATTTGCTCTATTTACAATGAACATTTTATCAAACTCTATTGTAAGTTATACGCTATCATTTGCACGAACACGTCAACACTTTCATGTCAGGGTAGCTTTTGAGCATTACATGATTAGAATGGTCCATATAAAGAAGAGTAAGTGGAGCTAAGGTATCTGGTACGCACGAAGGCTCGGGAATATCCCAAAGTTTACCAAACGATCGAGCCAAGCTTTGAACTGTTGCGTGATTAGTAGGTCTAGAGTTTTTTCCTAATGGAAACAAACAGCCACCAGTACAATAATTGGTTTCAAATCCTTTCGGATAAATCACCCAGTCTTCCCATCCGATGTCTGCGAAATTCAACACTAACTTTTCCATACGACATTGATCCGAGTTAGTTATTAGTATTGAATCCCCTGAGTCTATCGTCTGTAAGAATAAAAAAATGTTAATAAGATTATTATTATTTTATTGTATTCTAATTGTGATTTTAAAATAAAAAGTAATAAGTATAACATAAAATATGATCAATGTGTGTTGTAAATATTTTAGCTTCGATGCGAAGCTGAGAAGGTATTGGTTTTACTAAGATGTGTGGTTTTTTTTTTTTTTTTTTTTTGTTTGTTACCACTTTTTCTCAGCTCTCACCGAACCGATTTCTTTCAATGATACGTCAAAAGATCACAAATCGTATCTAGTCGAAGACATTACCCTTCAAAATTGAAAAAAATTCCCTCGTTCCCCGTAAAAGGGGGAAACCTCCAAAAAAATTACAAATTTAAAAATCGCTAATTTTCGAAATTTTTTCAATTTTTTTTACTTAAAAGTGCTATAACTTTTTCAAAAATGAACATATCAATATAAATTTTTTTTATATAGATGCATAATATCATTACCTTTCATTTGGTATATTTTTTTCATAAATTTAACCCTTAACCTGCCCACCAGGGGGGATTTAAAATGACAACTTTTTCACAAAAAATTAATTTTTTTAACTTAAATTTTGAAAATGTTCCGGAAGGTCTGACACTTTTATATATATCTTAAATTAAAGCTAATGTAATATGCTTTATCATGAAAAAAAAAAATTTCGGACTTTATCTTATCTTCATGGTGAAAATGGCTACCGAATGCTATTTTTGTGTGAAAATTTTCGATTTTGTATTTTCGATTTTTAACTTTATTATGCTATAACTTTTTGAAAAATGTATGGATCATTACAATTTTTTTATGAGAAGTAGTATTTATATAGATCTTTCATTCGACATACTGTTTTTTTAAATCGGACCATTTCCCTAAATACAGGGGGGATTCAAAACATAAAAATGCATATAGAAAGTAGAACTTTTTCAACGTAACTTTTGAAAGTGTTCCGGAAGGTCTGACACTTTTATATATATCTTAAATTAAAGCTAATGTAATATACTTTATAATGGTAAAAAAAAATTTCGGACTTTATTTTATCTTCATGGTGAAAACAGACATTAAACTTAATAAAAAAAATACGATTTTTGTAAAAAAATTCTTTTTTATATTTTTAACTTTATAATGCTATAACTTCTCGAAAGATGTATGGATCAATATAATTCTTTTTTTTGTAGATGCATGATGTCTTTACCTATCATTTGGTATATTTTTTTTATAAATCTGATTTTTTACCTGCCTACAGGGGGGGATTCAAAATGTCAACTTTTTCACAAAAAATTGACTTTTTCAACTTAAATTTTGAAAGTGTTCCGGAAAGTCTGACACTTTTATATATATATTAAATTAAAGCTAATGTAATCTACTTTATTATGTAAAAAAAAAATTTCGGACTTTATTTTGTCTTCACGGTGAAAATGGCTACCAAATGCTATTATTGTGTGAAAATTCTCAATTTTATTTTTTACATTTTTAACTTTATAATGCTATAACTTATTGAAAAGTGTATTGATCAATATAATTTTTTTATGGGAAATACTATTTTTTAATAATCCCTTTTTCATTCGACATACTTTATCTTAATCAGGATATTAATAAGGAACTAGCAGTTTATGAAGCTTTTGGAATAATCCACCAATTTTTTAAAATTAAACACTATCTAAAGATTTGCATCGAAGCGTTTTTTTTTGATAGTGATTTTAATCACTGTCAGATATCATTATACTTGATCCAACTATGCAACGTCACCACTGTGCCGCGACCCCCCTGTGCTGGGTTTTTTTTTTTAACTACAGACTAGTAGTTTCAAATATATTCTATTGAAGCACTCCTGTTTATACAGGGTGGCCCACCACTCACTGACAACTTAAATAACTTTTGATCCAGTTAATATTTTTAGCTGATTTTTTTTTTAAATAATAGTTATACGTTAGGTCTATAGCTATATCTCAATAATTAATTTTTTTACATTTTATTAAAAATATTATTTATTTTTCAATTTAAAATAAAATGTAAAAAAAAAATCTAAGCTAGCTATTTTGTAGAGTAGAATTTAAGAAAAATTTTAGTAAAAAAATATCTTATTAATATTGAGTAGTAAATATTCTGTAGCGTTTTGAAGTTTGTGAAAATTTGAATTTTCATGTATTATTTTACGGTATTAAACATTGAAATACGTATTGAGAAAAGGACAGAAGAAAACGCTATCTTTTCATGATTACTGTGTATACATATGATGATAATGTGTATACATTACAAACTTGGCATAAATACCATGATAAGAAATTAGATAAGGCAATTATTACTTATCACTCTCATTCAAAAGTATATTGAAAAGATAGCGTTTTCTTCTGTCCTTTTCTCAATACGTATTTCAATGTTTAATACCGTAAAATAATACATGAAAATTCAAATTTTCACAAACTTCAAAACGCTACAGAATATTTACTACTCAATATTAATAAGATATTTTTTTACTAAAATTTTTCTTAAATTCTACTCTACAAAATAGCTATCTTAGATTTTTTTTTTACATTTTATTTAAAATTAAAAAATAAATAATATTTATAATAAAATGTAAAAAAATTAATTATTGAGATATAGCTATGGACCTAACGTATAACTATTATTTAAAAAAAAAATCAGCTAAAAATATTAACTGGATCAAAAGTTATTTAAGTTGTCAGTGAGTGGTGGGCCACCCTGTATGTTAAAAACAAAGGACCTACTATCAGAATTTTTTTTTGAGAGAGGGACTTTAATTATATTCAAGAAAAAGTATCTAATATAATTTCGATGAGCAAAAAAATTCATAAACGACTATGAATAAATTGAATTAAATAATTTTTTTATTTAATAATATGAACTTTTCCTCAAAAAATAATATCTTTTAGAATTTATAATATAGTCGTTGATAATAAAATACATAATTGTAAATTACTGGTTAATATATTTGAATAATTTAAATTAATAACGTACTATTTATGTGCCAAAAAAATGATTTGGAGTAATTAATCATTTTTTGAAATTCGAAGAAATTAAAAAAAAAATGTAAAACCCTTAAATAGCTTATAATTAAAACTACTTATGAAATAAAATTTCATTTGCTCCTTTTTGTCTTTTACTATATTAACTTGAAAAAATTACGGTTTAAAGAACGATGTAAAACCGTATAAAACAGTAAGTATTCAGTTATTCCAACTATCTTGTAGTTGTCACTATATTAACCGTTCATTTTTTCCATGATCCAATATATTATTTTATTTTCAATTTATTAAAAAAAAATTACATTCTTTACTTCACTACCTCCCCTCCTTACACACTTGAATCGTTTTATATGTTAATGCACTTGGCATTAGAAATAGTTTTTTGTGACTAACTTAATTTTCATTTTTTTAGTATATAACACGTTATTGATTTTAAGTCTTCATTTATGTGTGTATAATAATAACATATCATGTACATATGCTATTATTTTTGTATTTTCGTAATACCAACCTAAATGTTCTATATTTATCAAAACATAAATTAGAAATTTCGTGTAAACATGGGAAGCACATGAAACATTTTCTACACAATGTGCTCTGTATTTTAGAATTTAATTTAATTAAACGTTTTCAAATTACCGTTTAAAGAGTCGATCTTTAAACGGTAATTTCTAGTTTCAAATTTATTAATAAAACATTATGCATAAACTTAAAACTACACGTGATCACGTAATTTAGTGGTTTATAAAACACTCATTAAGTGTTCAAATGGTATTTTAAGGCATAAGATTTCATAATTTATGTTTTATCTATTATATTATTTATAAAATATTTTTGAATAATAAAATATTATATCTTGAAAAACTGACCTGAAGCCTGTTGATTTTAGTCTTTTTCCTTTTCTTTTTGCTTTTATTTTCTTCAGTAGAAAAATCTACGTGAATATCAACTTCATTGTCATCTAAGGACCTTTTTCGTCTAGCGGTAAATTTTAAAGAAGTTTCAAACAATAACCTGGCAAGCTCATGTGCTTTGGCATATCCCACGGCAGTATTTTTTGAGTATAATACTAGTCCAATCGACGGTTTTCTTGGTTCATCAATTTGTACACCGAGCCGAGTAAGACCATCAAGAAAATGTGATCCCAAAATGTCTGCCAAATCCAAATTATTTATTAAATTTCCTGAACCTAAGTATGTTTTGGATGTTGATTGTTTTGACAGTGAATATAATGATATATTGATGCCTTTGGAATATCGATAGTTCTGATTAGGTTCTAGTTGAAGTTCAACCTTTTGGACTACTTCAGTGGGTTCAGTAGTTGTCAAGTCAAATACGTATAAAGAATGACCTCCAAGGGTTTCTAAAAGTTAAAAACATAATCTTAAATATAAATATATTCTTAAAATAATAAAAAAATTAAATTCAATGACTTTTACAGATGTTTAAAATAAAGATATTTCGATAATATTAATTTTATATTTAATTGATTATTGTATTAACTAATTGAATTTATAATTATGACACTTTTATCAATAGTTTTTTTGTATAAACATGAAAGTGACTTTTTTATACTTTTTAATAAACTGATTATATATATATTTTTTAAATACCAATGACGGTACTTAACATGCAGATAGTCTGCAAACAATTAATTTTTAGCTATATTATTTATATACCTTATTCTTTATTATATAATCATTGAATATTTGAAAAAAAAAATGCAAAACCTTATAAATTTAATAATTATTATTCTTCATGTTTCAACTGTCGTCTTAAATGTTACTTTCACTAGTTCTGATAATCTGTTTATCGCTTTATTATATATCTTGCCCCCAAGAGTCACAGATAACAGAACACTCAACCCCTTAAATCCGATTTGTCATGTAGTCTAGACTAAGAAGACAAAATCTCCCATCCATCTATCTTTTCTCTCTTAATGATAAGTATATAATATAATCCTCCTGAAGTACACCATAGTTAGGTCCATTATGGTGTGCTACAAAGGATTATAAACTCGCGCGTCCAGGAGACACGTCTATTAGATACCCGCGACAGTGGCGACTGTGTAGAACAACTCGATGGCTCCGTCGACAGAGACGACCACGGTGGAAGACCAATTGACAGGCCATTAGATTAGGCACCACGCCGTATTGACCCTTAGCAGAGAGCACCTGCGTTTATGAGTAGTTTTGCTTGGATACAAAAGGCTTTTGTCCTTGGCGCCACGACCATTTCCTACAAGCCCACCTCTGTGGGACACTAACTGTCGTCTTTATTTTTGCTCTCTCTATCATTACTCGTTTCGATCATCCCCTCCAAACTATTGATCGCCAACCCATAAAATCAGGTATTTCGACAGTAAATAAACAATAAATGTATTAATGAATAACGTAAAATGATAATGATTAAAATTGATTTTTCATGTTTCAAGATTGAATAAAATGAAAACCCTGTGATATAAGATGTTTATCAAGTGCAGTTTTTTAGGATTCCGCGGCCGTGACACTGAGTTTCCATAACAACGATCTTGATGCTGACCAGACGGCGTCGCTACGCAAATTAAATAGCAATAGACAGCAGGCTAGGCGCCAAATTTTAAAATACTCTAAGGACTTTTTTTTTTCAGGATATATTTCTCTCTGTATAAATTCATCTGAATGTAATATACAAGATTTTTTCTATCAAGACCTTAAAGGTAAAAACCTATACTTCTCAACAAAATATACACGCGCAATTGCGTCATATTAACTAAAATGTAATACAGGTAGTATATCACAATGATTCACTGTTAAAATAAATTATTTTGTTCCCAGTTTTTGATTAAAATAGTTTGATAGCTACTTCTATTTAAATATTCTCAGTATAGTATAGTTTTATTAACGTATTGTGACAAATTTAAAAACTGAAAACCCATGTGTCATATATTCTGCGTATAGTCTAATTTTTACGAAATCAAATTTTAAAAAACTAGAAATAAAATTATGATGTTTTTTGTAATAACAATAAATGGTTGGGTTAATGAGTACCAGAGACATTTTTTGATAAAAGAGCATTTTAAAATTATTTATTCAAATTTTGGTAATATAAATTTTTTTTAAAAATATTTATCCATTCCAACAATAAATAACTTGAATTATTTTGTGAATTATAAACAACTTTACATTTTAATGTGAATTAAAAATGATTAAATATATTTTTATTTCATTTAAATTCATTAATTAATTTCTAATTTAAACAAAAATGAAAGAAAATTATAGTATATAATTACCCTTAAAAACAGAATATTATTACTGTGTATTTTATGAACATAAAAATTAGAAGATCTAAATTTTACTTTACTTATAAATAACACTATTGTAAATCAAAATAATTGGTAACGAATTAACTCGTAATGATACAACGATATTATTTTAATTTCATCGTTTTTTAGGGTATAATTTTTTTAATTTTATAAAATATTACACAAAACAAAATAAAGTACTATGTTTATTTCAATATTTAATTTTTTAAGATTTTTGGAACGTTTTAAATAAATATATATATATATTAATAGTATTCCATTTTAATTAAATACTGTTGTATTATTAACCAAAAAACTTTTGAAAATAGTGATTTAGTCTATTGTTTGAAGGGTTAACACTTTCCTCGAAGTTTGACAGTGGGTAATTTTGTTTCTCTAAGGAACTTAAATCAAGAAAGTCTTAATTTATAAAGTTTTATTTTCATTTAACGGCGGACAAACAGTCCCAATGAAGTTTCTTTAAATTCTCAGAAAAAAAAAGGAATTACTAAATCTAATACTGGTGATGCATAGTAAAATTCCATAAAAGTCAAATTAAATAGAATATAATAAAAATTGATCACTTGTGGCTAGTTAATTAAGTAAAATTAAAACTATATTAAAAATATTATTAATTTAAAAAAACTAAAAAATATTAAAAATATTAAACTCAAAAGCCACAAAAAAATTAATGAAAAGTCTATTAATTAAATAGAATACTTCGAGATTTTATAAAGCAAATCTAGCTTATTATTGCCATACATTTTAGGATAAAAATGAAGTTTATCATATATTTATTAAATCCAAATTTTAAATTAGTTTTTGTTCTACTGAAAAATTAACTTGTTAAATTATGAAATTAATCTTCAAACTGTAGTACTCTAGGAAAATTTTGAAAAGATATAAGAGACATTTCAGTTAAATTTATTGTTTACACATTGGTTTTCTAAATCATTTTAGCTTTGATGCGAAGCTGATAAAGAATTGATTTTGTAATGATGTGTTTTTTTAATGTTTCGACATGAATATTCTTAGCTCTCACTGGATCGATTTTATTGATCAATATGTTATAAGAACCTGTTTTTAATTTAGTAGAACCTATCAACACCAACCAAAAACATGAAAAAAGTCCTCTATTTCAGAAATTAAAAAATATAGCTCAAAATTAGGCTATAATGAAAATGGCATTCTCAAAATATTTTTTTGTAATTAAAACTGATGTAACTTTTATTTTTAAATACTGATCTAAATTAAATATTTACAGAGTATACTAGAGACAATAAGTTTTCTTTTGGTGTGCTTTTACTGAAAATCCAGTTAAAAATTTAAATAGAGAAAGGATTTTAAAAAACCATCCACGTATGTAAAATTTTTATAGTCAACTTGGTTTTATGTAAATGTTTCGACAACTTTTGAGATCTGGTAACTTCTCTTCTGTATCAAATAAAGCTTTAGAAGTGTATTATATTATTAAAAAAAAAAATTTCCCTCATGATTGTTCTATTATGAGATAATGGCCATCAAAAAAAAAAATAATGTTATTTTTAATTAAATAAATATTTTAACAAGCATTTTATGTGTCGACATAAACATTAAATCATAGAAATTGTAAAATTACAAATATGCAAATTATAAAACTTGATAGATTCACATCAAAGAATTTATGTTTTTTTAATATTTTTTATATTATTTATATTTCTACATCCCAACTTTGCCGCGTCCCCACTGTACCACTGTGCTGGGACTTTTTATTTATAAAGTCTTAAGTATAGATACTAGATCTATATAAATTATTTAATTAACTAAATAACACAAGTTAAAAATAAATTAAATTATATCTATTTATAAATTTTTTTATGTTATAGTCTTATATTAATATAAAAATAGTCTAGGAGTATGGGAGCTTTGCTCTCACGAAATTTTTTATCGTAAATATTATCATTACTTCCCAAGACAAAATCATTTGATCGCCACTGACTAGGTATTATAAAAATGTTAATCTAATTTACTTAATATTTAATTATGATTTTTTAGAACTGACAATTACCTGTGCTAGGTGGAATACTTCTAATTACATCGTACTGCTGAGAACCGGTATCTTGGTAAAGTTTAAACATATAACTTGGTATCTTATGTCTTGTAGTATTTTTTGCCTTTTTCAGTTCTAATATTCTTTTTAGAGAATTCTCGAAGTCATTGGTAACCAGAGAGCAATAACAGCATGGTATAAGTATTGCTAAAACCATGTAAAGACACATGTTCGATATATTTGCAGCTAGTTAATTGAGCAAGGCGAAAACACAACTAAAATTGTTGAAAATCTGTCCATGCGACACTTCCAAGTATCCAAACACAACTGGAGCCGCATTAGTCTGGGACTCAGGTAGGTATATACTATATGTCAGCTATTACCTGTCGGGTACCCGTGAGTCGTTTGCGTAAGCGTGTCAAGTGGTGAACCTTTTTTCTACCCCGTCTACTTCTCCTAGATGTGGCGACAATTAAATCCAGACCGGAACGTATCAAAGGAAAATGGGTCCGATTTTGGCCATTAGAAAAATATTCGTAGAAAGGGACGTCAATAAACAGGAAAACGTGTTAAATGTGTTTGTTTTTTTCTCTTATATTTTCGTTAGACAACAGTTTTGAATAGGCTTTTGGCCATCCAAATACACTATGGTAAGCACGTTTTTAAATCTTTACTGTAATTGCTTTACTAATATTTGTTCATGATTTCTATCATTATTTCCCCCCAAATTTGCAAGTTAATTGAATGTAGAATAAGCCGATGGGAATGTACGTCGACACGAAATATTTTTCAAAAATCTGGTGGCCATGTGGAATTTTTTTCCCTTATATTAGTTATTATTTAATAATAAAATTAAATTTATTTATAATATAAAATCTTAAAAATTTTAAATTATGAAAAAATTTTCCCTTTATATAAAAGAAATATTAATTGAAGAGTAATAGAATCAAACATCTTGTACAAAAAAAAAAAAAATATTAATATGAAGTATTAAAATTTTTAATTTAAAAGACGGTGTATCTTCATAAAAATACATTAATAATAAGATGTAACAGTTATTATGTTATGTATTGCGATTTATATAATTATACTGATAATTACTATTTATTTTAATATTTTAATTCTAAATGGAACTTAAATGTAAACTGTTCTTACTTAATTTGAAATCTTTTGATATTTTACATTACTTCTTGTATTAAATACCTCATTTTTTATTGTGATTCAATTGGTAATTCTGTTAGATTTATTAAATTAATTCACTATATACACTACGTAAGAAATTGACGTAACTTCAATGTTTTCCCCAAAATTATTCTAAAAAAAAAAAAAAAGAGAGAACACTAATTTTTTAAAAGCAGATTTCCATTATTTATTAGAAAATAATTTTTATGCATTGACCTATCAAAATGGCGGCAATTTTAAATAATTAAATACTCGTGACAAAAAATCCTAAATTTTAAAAAATGTTTTATTGATAATAAAGTGTGAGTGAATGATTAAGATGTTATTTTTAAATTAAAAGACACAGTGCAACAATCAGGTAATTTAATTTTCAAAAATTTTTGATGAGAAGCAATTTTATGAACAATTTTTCATTGTAAACAATGGTAAAATATTTTATTCTGAATTAAATATCTCCATAAGTAATAGGAATATAGAAATCTTTGTTTTTAGTTTTTAATGGAAAAAAAATCATATTTATTCAAAATGATTGAAATTTTGAACTTATCTAGTTGTTATATTCAGTTCTTTAATTTCTAACTAAAATGAATTAACTAACTGATTTGATTGTGTTTAAATATATAGGTCATTATTTTAATACTAGCCACTTAATTTCACTTAAAATAATTTTTTTTATTTTGGCTTTTATTAGTTATATAATTTTTTTCATGTCAACATGCGTATTTAACTAGCTTATAAAATAGAAATTATGTAATTAAGTAAATTGCTGGTCAATACTCTTAAATCAGTGTATCGGAAGTTAGATCGGAGGGAGAAGTTAGGCCGAGAAACGTTTAGAGATAAAATTAGCAGTGCCTCTCGTCACTTTAAGGTGTTACTTTAAACTTTTGATTTCTTCTAAAATACCGACCCAAAAGTTGATATCGACTAGTTATTTTTATAATTACATCATTTTTATTTTATAAGCTAATTAAATACATATGCTGACATTTAAATAAATTAAGTTGACACTCCTATTAAATATAAGAGATGAACCTGAAAATTATTTTAAACCATATAAATGGAAATACATAACTAAGAAAAGCCAAAAAAATATATTATTTTAAGAGATATTCAATGTTTAACTAGAAAAACAACTGTTGTAATATATTTATATAATACACATTTAATCATGAAAAATAAAACTAATTAATTAATAATGGATGGTAACTATGTGCCACAATAAACAAACCAATTTATAATTTGATTGTTGCGTATTTTTATATATAGACTGTTAAATTAAAAATATATATATAATTTTTTATTTATATTCCAAATCGTTCATTGGCTTATTTTTACTAACTAATTGATTACGAATTTAGTTTAATTACTGACTTAATAAGAAAACTGTCTTATTTATTCAACGATAATTATAACTATTATGTAGCGATCTAACAGTAATTATAGACTATAATATTAAATTTCACATTGTCTTAAAAACAACCCTATTGATTACTATGTTACAATTTTTTGACTTATTAAATAATTCTTCAGTTGCAACGTATAGGTCAAAGACATGATTTCGACTAGGTGGTCATTTTATCAGCTAAATCCTCCTGTAAAATTATTAAACATACTTGCAGGAATGCCAATGTCAAACTACGGTTTTTGTTACAATATATATTGTCTTATGACTGATATAGTATTAATGCTTGGATTTCTTACTACTACTGATGCTTTTCTAAATGCCTATCAAGTTATGGATAAATTTAAATCAACAGCTATTGCTTCTGCCTCTCTTATAGGATTATTTAACTCAATTTACCAAAAATATACATACAAGCGATGTCAAAAAGTGTTGGTGCATTTGGACATGGTATCCAAAAAATGTCAAAATGATTTATTCGGAGAAAATTTTGTAAAAAGAGTTAAAAAAGAGATAAGGTATTTGAGCAAAAAAATTATATTATAATTAGCTTAAGGCTTATAAATATTTGAAAGGCAATAAAAGATATTTAATTTTTTATAGTTTGGAACATTTCATGTTAATTTATGGAGCATTTGTCACTGCCTTGTCAGCTATTGTCTATCCATATTGGCGAGAAGTTATATCATCAGATGAAGGATTTGAACGAGTTTTAGCTACACCAATGAGAATGCCCTACATGGGTAAATATGCAACTGCGTATTGGCCTTTATCGTTTCTACTATGTTTAGCCATACTTTATGGAAATTTAAAAATCATTGCTGGACATTGCTTTTATATTTCTACATTATCTCAAATTAAGTGTTGTTTCATACAACTTAAAAAAAGTCTATGTTACATAATTGAAAATGATCAAAGCATAAATAGCATGAAAAAATGGATTCATTGTCATCAAGAAACTCTCTCGTAAGTAGAAAAAAGTATCATACTATGACATTACTCAAGCAATTGTGAAATAAATTTATTAGAAATATTGGACTAGTTTCAAAAATCGTATACTAATTATATTACTTAAAAACTTAGAGTCTAATTTTTTAAGACAATACTATGAATTAGACATTATTAATTATTCAATAATAAGTAAAAAGCAGTGTGAAAAGTGAACTTAAGTAATGTTCAAAATATATTAATAAGCAATATTAAAGTGAAACTTCTTTAGAGAGTGTCCGAAAAAAAAATTATCGTGTATCACGGTTGGCTGTAACGTTCAGATTCTATTGTTTTATTAGGTATACTGTCAATATTTTATTATTCAACGAACTTGATGTGAATTTAAAAAATGCAAAATTGCATACGTTTAAATGAATGCACTTTAAACAAAAATACTTTAATTTTCAAAAATAAAGGACTACATTTATTTTAATTTATTTTTTAACTATTTGGTTAGTTTACGCTAGCTAATTTTGAAGACTAACCAGGTGCATTCTGGGGAATTACAAAGTACTGTGATTGCTTTCAGTACTTTGGGGATATAATATTAATTTTATATTACAATATAATTAAATCTATTTATATTTATATTTAATAAAGATAAATAATTAAACATATTCAATAATATTTAAAGAAAAAAGGAGACATACTGGAGTGTAGAAATTATAAAGGCATAAAGCTTATGAGTAATAGTATGAAATTTTAAAAAAAGGTAATAAACAAAAGAATAAGAGGAGAAACATCAGTAATAATGAACCAGTTTGCTTTTTTGCCTAGAAAGTCGACGATGGATCCAGTTTTTTGTGTAAGACATTTAACAGAAAAATACAGGGAAAAGAAAAAAAAGCTGTGTATGGTATTTATAGATTTGGAGAAAACGTATGATAGAGTACCGAGAGAGGTTTTAAAGTGGTCATTAATGAGAAAAGGAATCCCGAAAAGGTGTATTAATATAATAGAATATATGTATAATGGCACTTGTACCAGGTTAAAAGCGTAGGAAGAGTAACAGAAGATTTAAGGTAAGAATGAGGAGTACATTAAAGTTCTGCTTTTAGCCTTTACTTATTTTATATAATGATTGATGAAATTACTAAAGAAATACGAGGAGAGGTACCGTGGTGTATGTTGTTCGCTGACGATATAGTATTATTAGAGAAGACATTAATTAAAGGCTAAAGGTATGGAGATCAGGTCTTGAAGGAAAGGGATTAAGAATAAGTAGGAGTAAGACAGAGTATATGGAGTACGAGTTTGACAAAAGAGAACATGAGGTAGGCGAAATGAGTAAATCGGTGACAATAAACAAGGACGTGAAAGAAGAAATGGAAAGTATTAAGTATTTAGTACAGTTTTGCAAAGAATGGTGGTTTTGACGAGGATGTAAGACACACGATTAAGTGCGGGTACTTAGATAAATAAATGGAGTGACAATAGATGTTAAGATAAAAAACGAAATATAAGAGGGAATATAGGTTTAGGAGTAGCGTTAATCATGAATAAGATAAGAGAAAATAGGCTTCAATGGTTTAGTCATGTTATGAGGAGAGAGGAATCGGAAACTATGGAAATGAATGTTGAAAAAAGAAGAGGTAGAGGAAGACCAAAGAAGAGATGAGGGATGTTATTGAATGCGGCATGAGGACAGCTGATGTGTGCATAGCAGATGTGAGAGATCGTGTCAAGTATAAGTTTAAGATAAAGATCGCCGACCTTAAGTAGTTGGGATAAAGACGAGGATAAAGAAGAAATTATTTCAGTTATCATAAGACCATTATATCTTTCGTGGCAATAGAATAAGAAAATTAATAATAATAATCATAAATTTAATTTAATTGAAAAATGAAATTTTTTAATTTTATTCTAATACAAATTTAATATTATATCAGTTGAATTTTTCTGAAAGAAGTTTCACTTAATCCGCGGGTACTCGTAACACGCACCGTTTTATTTTTGAACTAACTATTTTAATTTTCATCAAATATAATAGCTTTAGTATAATTTTTCACTAAAACCAACGTATGAACACCAATATTATTCAATATATCTTTGTATAATATGAGTGTTTAAGATACTTATAAAATTATCCAATTAAAACAATTTATTCAAACGTAAAACAATGGATAAATTTAAAATTATTAAAAAAAAAAAAATTGTATTTATTTTTTGTACAGTTATTTATATTTTTTAGTGTAGGTAATGAACTTTGTGAAATTTATGCTCCGATGTTTTCAACTTTTTTAGTATACTTTGTTATCGTCAATACGTCTATAATGATTATGTCAATGTCTGTAAGTGAAATAATATTTTTGGTATGATTTTAATCAATTAATTAGTCAGATATTAAATTATCTGTATTTAAAAAAATGAAAGCTGTCAATAATAATTATTAATACCGTTAATTGTTATAAAATGGAAATTTAAAGTTTTCCTAAAAAATATTGATTTAAAAAAAAATAACAATTGGATTTTAGATTTCGGATCTAGATATAGTTATGAAAATATCAGCATTATCACATGTATGTATGTGTGCCGTGATGTTGTACTTTTCATGCAATGTAGGTTCATGCTTAACACATGAAGTGAGTATTACTTAAAATGAAAATTAAACTCTAAAATACTTTTAAATCAATAATACCCATGTTATTATTGATTAACTAAACTCATTGAAATATTTTTCAAGTCGTATACTGCGAGCCAAAAAGCATACGGACGTTCATGGTATACCAGTAAAACACATACGAAAAATTGTTTTGGATTAATAATTATGAGAACTAATAATAAAGTAGAGTGCAAGTGTATCATAGCTCCAATTCTAACATTAAGCAATGAAACATACGCGAAGGTAATATCAGAATTACTTCAATAAACTGCTGAATTGATAAATGTAATAACCCTTCAAGCATTTTCAAAAGCGATAATTTTATGTAGAATCATGACTAGATTGATTTATTTCTAACTATGTACAGTGTGTAAATATTAAAAATAGACTTCGGAACATCAGTCGCATCTATTTTGATTGAAAACTAAATCGTGTTTTCTATAAGTCCGATATTATATTCAAAGGTTTGCCATTACTAAACCTCCTTCTTTCATTTATATTAATAAACTTTCTACATTTTTGTTAAAAATCACGATAAAAACTCATTAACTCAACTCATATTTTGGGATTAGTCCACTCAATTTTATAGTCCAGTACACTGCTGTTTAATTATTTTGAGCGTAAAAATTAAAACGATTAATGATTCCAACAATTTTATTGAAAAATGAACAGTTTTTCAGATTTTCTTTATCAGTTTTTTTAACAACTCGGCAAATGGTTGAACGTCGGCTTGTGATTTGAAAAAAATTGTTAGCATATATGTACGTGGACGTGAAATCATTCTAATCAAATATAGTTTAAAAAAAAGTAACAATAATTCTTATACTGTTAAAACTATAAACATTTCTACACAACGAATTTTCATTTTAAGTTATTTTTTATAATTGTGTTTTTTTTTTTTTACATAATTCTCACTTTTTTGTTGTGCACGTGTCACAAATATTTTTATTTTATGTATGTATACAATGTTAGATTCTATCACTTTTGCATAGATTTTTTTATGCGACATACTTATATTATAAAACTCACTATTCTTTTTTTAATAGATGAAAAACTCAAAATTAATTTTTAAATTGAAATTGTCAATAACTTTTGGAAAGTTAATAAATCACTTGAAAATTCATAAAAGTCTATTTAGAATAATAATTACTTGTGTTCTTGTAAGAGTTGCTACGTTTTATACATGTGGTGCTTAAAATATCAAAAATTCCAAATTTTACATTGGTCTTATGAGACGTTTCAAACAGGTTTTATTAGACATGTTTTTTAACAACATTTTAACTACGTGTTGCATTATAATCATCATAAGCAAATGTTTTTAAAACTTGGATGTCAGAAATACTAATAGCTTTTACAATAAATTATATAAATGTTAAGAAACTTTTTTTATAATTACTACTTCAATTCAGCAAACTTCAACTTTCTCAACCTTTTAATAATATTACTTTTAATTTACGTATTAAAATAAAAATGAGTTTAATGCGTAAAAATAAATCATTAAAAAAATAATTTGAACAACGTTTATTGTTTAATCGCTATCACAAATATATTTTTTACATGTTTAAAATACAAAAACGTTTATGTGTATGCTTTAAATCGATGCTTAAATATTTAAACGTTTAAAATTGTATTAAAGCATTTTCACAACCTGTGTAACAATTTACATTTAAACTACTACAAAATTAATATAATTTCACAATATTTTTTTATTTTATTAATTTTCTATTACAGAGTGATTAACATATCAAGGTCCTCTTTAAATAAGCACATAAAATATAAGTACAACATTTTAAGCATTGCATTTTAAAACACAGAGTGACAATAATTAATAGGAGCTACTTTCATATTCTATGAGATAGTATGATCAAAAAAAATTATTTTCTGATATATGAAGAAAAACTATAATATAAATGCTTCAAACAGTAGATTTACAAACATCCTGTCATCTGATTCATTTGAACACATATATTTATTATTTTACGTGATATGTGCAGCTCGTATTTAAGTTTTATCACCCTGTTTAACACTACACCCTTGTAAACTATGAGAAACTTAATAACATAAGTTTTGTATATCAATTTCGTAAATATTATTATTTTTCAATTCCGAATTAAGTTCTGCACTCTCGTTAAAACGTGCAGTTGATTTTGCTAAAAAATAAATTCAAAAAATACAACTCCAATAATTTTTTTAAAAAATTACTCATTAGGTATGTACATATCGTATCTCTCCATCTATAATACTAAATTGTAGTTTTATGAGGTCATTTAAAATAATTAATAATTTTCTAATTGATTGTTTATATCTCAGTAAAAACTGAAATTACCCAACAGCAGCGTTATTCATATTGGACGGGTATCCTGACGTAATGGCTGTATTGTATCGATTTTAATACAATCTTGTAAATTCTTATTATATAAAAATTCGTTTCAGCTAAATTAAGTATATTTAAATAACAAAAAAAAAAAATGGTGTATCAATGAAACAGGAAAACAAAATAATGTACTGTTATAATTTCAGTATGATTTTTGTAAATGTAAAATCACGTTTATACATTTATGTATATATTGAATTCTTATCACGTAATCGTGTATTGAATTTGCGTCGGTTAAAAATACATAAGATGAGACAAATTCACAGTGAAACTCGTGTGAATTCTATAAAAACTTTTAAAGGGATTTCGTAAACTGAAACACAAACTTTGAACATTTTTCAACTTTTTACTGAATTTTAATAATACGTTTAGGAGAACTAAAACCAGCATATGTTTGAGTATATTTTTACTTTGATGCATATTATATACAAATAGATCGCAAAACAATTTATATACAACTCAACAAATAAATGCATATAATGTTAAGATAAATAAAACTGTTTTACTTATTTTACCAACAAGGCGAAAAAATCAAAATTTACATTGGTAATAAGTAAGATCGTAATCATTTCTTAGGAATGGAATAAGTTTGAATGGAATTCATGTTTGTATTTATCAAAATTTAAATAACAATAAAATGTAAATTTGAGTTTTCTTTCACATGATGAGTGAAATAAAAGGATACAATAAAATTAGCAATAGTAAAATAGAACTGATTACATTTTATCATACAACTAGAATGTACGCCCAATAAAAAATTCTTACATAAACTATTCATAGAATCCTACGCATGAAGCTTTTACCTTTTAGATTAATTCACATAACTACAATAATATTATACCATAATAAAACAAAATTGTATAAATGAATCTTTCAAAAATGTTGGCAGTGGAAACCGTTTCATAGAAAATATAATAGCAACGTCTAAAATTACATACAAATTAGGTATTTTTCTACAAAAATATAATCGTTTGTTTTTATTGATCATAACGATGCTAGTTTTTATGTTTTGTACACCAATTCAGCCATTGGTTTATTATTCACAGAATGATAGTATGTTATTATTTTTTGTGTCCAGGTGCGATCGGTTTTTGTTTTCAAATAATCGCATTTGATTAGGTACGTTTGTTATTTTATTGTTATTAAGGTCTATTCACATCGAAATCCCTTCTTCGAATAACGGCAAAATGCGTTGTTTGAAAGCTGTTGTTCTTCGTAGAACCACATTCTAGTGACCCGGTCAGACTATATCCCATGTTGAAATCAGCAGTGTTCACATCGGACGTGAGGCATAGCTGAAAAATAATAAGACATTTTATGAATTTTATTGCCGTTCATATTTTGCAAAAATATTGCATTGGATCTTGTATTAAAAATCACATAAAATAAAAATAAAAACAACCCAATAGAATACTTAAAACAATGATATTTTTTTGATAAACGGAATATATTGATGTTTTGTGTTGTTCGACTTAAAAATACTATCAGTCTAATTTTAGAATAAAAAAACGATAATTTCACAAGAGCGCCATCGTTTGGACACGAATCTCGAAGAAAAAAGACAACTAGATGATCATAAAAAGTTTATGTTTAAAAATTTATTGAAAATAGATAGAATCAAACACTTGAGAAAAATGTTTACAGAATTAGCTAAATTATGTTATTTTTTTGAGATTCATATCTAAGGAATAATTAGTTAACGTTACGGTTATAAATTAACCACTCGAGATAAATGTATTTCAGAAAAATTATAAAAATAAACAATAATTGTGCACTTTGAAAGAGTAGTAGAAACGGAAAAATTATAAAAACTTCATTGTAGTTCTGTTCTCTCACGTTTTACTCATTATGCATAAAATAACAATTTAAACGTGTTTTTGCTCCTCATGTACTAATTTATAACATAAGCGTTATTATAAATATAGCCATTGTTTTGCGGCTTCATCTAGAAAGCGACACGTAACAAACGAGTGCACCCCGCCTTCACATTGACCATTTGTACGCCTTTCAGGGAGCTTTCCGGTTAATTAGAAAACACGTGCTTCAAACACAGAAATCTAATGAATAAGCTGCTACGGTGCAAATATAATGACTAAAACACAATTAAGATTGATTTATCGTGGTTGTCGTAACATATTCATAACAGTAACCAGACAGAAACAGATTGCGTGTTATTTAACAGCGGCATACGATCCGAAGCTTCTAAGCCACGCCTACAACGACACCAAACTTTTTTAGCGAAATATCAGTCCTCTCCACCTCCAACATACGGCGAATGAACGAGACGACGTGGCTGGTAAGGCGCCGCAGTGAAACTTTAATAATAATAACACCGCCAGCAAATACTCGTTCACAAAGTTTTTCGCCTAAAATTCACCCTACACACATAAAAATGAAGCAAATATGCAAGTTCCTTTATCCTCGAAGCTTCTTTGAAACGATTAAAATTCGTTCTATGTGCAAAATTAAATTAATGTTCTACCCTCATTTCCATTTAACTAATATTAGCTTACAAATACTGTGATCATACGTTTAATTAATAAATAGCTTTTCTGATTAATCGAAACTCAATTATTTTGTATTAGTTGGAATTACTATGCGGATTACTAATTTTTGTTAACAGAATGGATAAAATCAACTAATTTGTAAGTATTCCAACGAATATAACAACGTACATAAATACCTGTAATATCATGTAGCAAAAGTTCATCAATGGATCACCCTGTATATATTAATATCATACAAATGAAATATCATTTGTTCAAAGATCTTTCACCGCCGTAATTATATTTAATTGTCATCACTAGGGCTGGGAATTGTGTTTAGGCAACTTTGAAGGGTTCTAAGTTTGTGTCACTTTATCATTAGGTTATAATATAACCGTATGATAAAGTGACACAAACTATTTTATAGTAACATAGAAGTATACACTGTTTTAGGGGAGATAAACCTCCTAAACCCTCCAAAAACTATAACATTGGTAACAATACATTCCTAAATTTTTAAGTTATTTAACAAAAATTTATATTGGCTGATATTGATATGTTTAAAAACAACTTAATAAAGTTTATAAATACTTATAATTCCTAGCCCTAATATTACTCATAATTGCCAAATTAAATACACGTGTAGACTAATATTTAAATGCATTAAAAAATTAATATGTTTTTACAGAGCCATATTATCTATTATTCATAATAGACACCTGTGTCTAAGATCTACGAACTGTTAAAAATTTTTTTTCAGTTGGTGCTCAAGACCTACAAATTACATAAAGACTGGTATCTTTATTATAAAAATTAATAATTTCTTAAAATAAAATACAGCTTAATTCTACAATGTAGTACAATTATAGTTTATTTTATAATAACGTATATACAATGACAAAGTTATAAATAAGGTAGAATGATCTAATAATTTCAGAAAACTTATTAGACTATATTCCGCGTGTTAACTAAAATCATTGCTTATAAAATTCATTCATCAACTTACAAATTAATATGATTTAATAACAATACACACGCATAAAAGTAAAACTTTTAATTCATATTGTTATGTTACTTACTAAAAATTTTGTTGTCAAACTATGAAACTATACAGAGTGTACAGTAAGTATGGAAACAGGTCAGTTGTCACAAACAATGAGAACAATAGAAACCCGTTTCCTTACTTACTACATATATACTACTTATCCTACATATATTTCAATAAGCAACACAAGTTGCATTACAAATCTAAAATAAAAGTATTTATTTTTTCCCATATTTTAATTCTTAATATTTTCTATATTTTAATTGTAAACACGAATAAATGAAATGTATATATTAAATAAATGACAGTTACATTGCCGGTTACAATGCCGCTAAAATTCAAATCATTACATAGAAATACTAAATTGTGTATTACATTAAGCATTGTAAAGGAGAAATATACTTATACAGGGTGATTGACTAACTATGCCTCACGAATTTTCTTTAAAAATATTAGTATTATCGTACATGTAATTATTTTATTTGTTATAAATCTTTGTTGAGCTACTTGACAAGAAAAATGAAGATTCAATCTTCATCCCTCAACCCTTAAATCAATATCAACTTTAGTTTTTCAAATAGCAACCCAGTTTTTTTTTTTATTAATCTTGTTAATAATAAAAAAAAAAATTTTCTCAAAAAAAAAAAAATCAATTTTAATAAATTCTAAGCGAGATATTACTATTTAAAGTTTAGGGGATTTAACAAATAAAACAGTAGTCGGGTAAATATAGTATCGTTATTATTTAGTGTACCGATAAGAAGTGGTAGCGCTTATCGATTTACGATCCATAACGTTCTCGTCTGTAATGATTTTTTCTTAATAAACCCTAAACTTTAGAGAGCCGTGGAGCGCTTAATATTTAATAAAATAAAATATTTTTTTTACAAAACATTTTTTTTTTATTAAACTAAATCTAATGGTATAAAAAAAAAATAGTGTTGCCATTTGAAAATATGAAGTTGACACTATTTTTAAGCAAAAGGGATGGTGGTAAAAATTTAAATTTTCTCGTGAAACATCTCATCAAAGATCCATAATGATTAAAAAAAAAAAATTGTTTATAACTCTTATATTTTCAGAGATAATTCGTGAGGCATAGTTAGTCAATCACCCTGTATAACTACATTTAAATTCATTGTTTCATTTAAATTAGACATAAATTTACATTGGTTAAATTAAACAAAACTCGAATATTTACAGTTATAAATATTGTTATTTATAATAATAATAAATTAATTTTATTTAAATTGTGTTTAGTGTATATGTCGTTATTTGTTCGTCCATTTCTTTCAAGTTATTTCGAATATCATACAATGGTACCAGGGTCCGATGTGCATGTTTGTAATCGTGTAAAACTACTCGACACGACGAGAACACAATTCACAGGTGTACTTCTGGGCTCCTATTAAAATAGTAATGTAACGCATAGATCGTTTGACTGGTTGTCATGTGAGTTACTTCAAATAATATGTACAGACTGAAACTAAGAAGTTATTACAAGAACAACGCAATAACTTTTTAATTAACATTTTAAATTCTTATATTTTAAACTTCATTCTAGTGAAAAAGTCCAAATTAAATATATATTAACACTGCTCATGACAAATTGTCAATTCTTTCTCTTTATTTCTGATAAGTTTTTGGACGCTGATTATTCTATATGTTCTTAATTTTTCTCTTCATTAATATTTTGGACAAGTTTTAAGTCTTTAAAATTATTGTTTCTACATATAAAATGTTAGTCAAAAACAAATGTTTTTTTTCAATACCCCTTATTTGTATTTGTAATATACTAATCGTGTAAATTTAAAAATCGTTGCGTAAACTTTACGGAACGATTTTAAATTTATGAATTATTATATTATAATTATAGAATATGATTTTTAATTTAAGTATTTTACTATAAAAGTATAAGTTTAACATCACAGTATTTTAAAAATGGTAAATTTCAACTTTTTCAATATAAATTTTTTTTATTCGTGTTTATGTTGCTATTGTCTATATTAATAGGGAATTTATGAAAATTTCAAAAATAATAAATATTGTATTTTTTGCATCACTATTAATGGATACAATAATTATAAATGTGAAAAAAATCAAAAGGGAAAAAATATGTAATAACTGGTATTATCATGTCCGGTTGGACGCCACATACTAAATCTATTACCAAAAAAAGTTCTTTTTTTTACTAAAAAAAAAACAATATTAATAGCCCCGTAAAATTGATATACTCAAGACCGACCCCGGATAGCATTATTATTTTTTTTGCTATTTCCAACTGATTTCTTTTATGATAATTAATTAAATAGTAGAAATCTGATTACACCATAAAATTCTACAACAAAAACTAAATAAGAATATATATATATGTATTTTAATCAAATTTGACAATCTAAAGAGTTTTTGTCGAGCTGTACTTATTATTTTAGAGTTGTACAATAATACTCACTACTGATGTAACGAATGTCTGGATCATATTAACTAAACTTTGTGACTTTCTAATTATTGTTATTATATTATAATTTACAATAACATTACAATTATAATGTTCTATACATTTTTTAGTTATTACAATACACATATGTTATTATAAATACAGTTATTTTATAACTTGAAATATCATTTTCTAAAGTATTATATTTTAGTTTTTTCCATTAAGTTATAAAAATTTAAAATTCAATTTGTCACTTCTAAAAGGTAGGTAAATAGTTGATACGAATTTTCAAATCTAAACATTGGATGAATTAAAAACTTTATTATTTAAATTATTACAAAATTACCATTGTAAATAATTTTAAAGTTCATATAAAATAGCGTGTCTTGAAATAGGACACGGTTTAACTAATAAAAATTATATATAAGTATAAAATATTTTTGTCTTTATTTGTATGTGTAATTTTATTGTGCGACAAGAAGGTTAAAGGTTTGAAATAAAAATATGAAAAATAGTACAATTTTTTTACTGCTTAGGTCCAATTTATCTATCGATTTGAAATTAAGAAAACAAAATACATAATATATTACTTTCTAATACATAATGTATCTATGTATTAAAACTTAAATTGTAATAAAACAATGATAACAGTCTTAGATTATTTAAAGATCCATGACTATTACACTTAGTAAGCTTATTTTTTCAACCACAAATCGGTAGGCAGATCTTACAATGATAAACGATTTTGGCGAGTGTTTTGAACAACAAACAATGGAAAAAACCAGAAAAATACCAATGCTCCCCTCCCATTCTACTAATTCCTAAAAGTTCCGTGCAAAGACGACAACTTTTAGGAGAAAAGTTTAGCTAGCCTGTCTCAATCTACACTGTTTATTTCAAACACACGTAACATGTAAGTCTTATACACGAAAAAAGTAAGTACAGTCGTTATTTCATTACTTGCCTAAACGTTGCAACCCTAAATAAAACTTTCATCCTATGTTTATTATTCGACTTAATTCTCAATACTGTCCATTTATAAAGTAGTTGAAACATTACTTGGAGTTTCATAATCAAAACTTATCCATTAGCGTTTTCTTATCCTGCATAATTAATCAGTGCTTTCATGTAATGTAATTAGTAAGGATCTCTGATCATAAAACAATATCATGATTAAATTAAAACATGGTGGAATATAATTATATGTTTTAATGACTCATCTTTAACTAGTCAAACATAATATAAAAATAGTATCCAAACAATTAAAATACTCATTAAATTTGGACTGTTTATTTATTTAATTCGAAGTACTAAAATTACTTAAATTTGTTATTAATTTAATTTGTTTAATGCGAATAATTATTAAAAAATAAGAATGATTATCACATGTAACAATTTAAGAGAGTCAAAGCTACCAATTATTAATCTACATCTACGTTTTTTATAAGCTAATATTATTTAAAATTACAAAAATATTACTTAAAATTAAACATTTTATAAATTTTAATTAAACATAAAAAATATTTAATTTTTAGTGCTACCGATTCTAAATAAATAACCGCAAAATTTAAAGTCCTCACAATAAGTGCTTAACTCATATTAGATACATTGACTGGGAAATAAATTCTTTGTATGTTTGCCTTTTAGCGAGTGACGTTATTACAAATATAATCAGCTAAATGAAAAACATGCTAAACCAGAAAAGTCCTATATTCAGTATAATTTATATTTATCGATACATTTAAATCATAATAAAAAGTATAATAATTCAATATACATATTAAAGTCTACAAAAAAATAAAATGAAGTTATAATAATAACCGTTACAATACAATATAAACAGAGAGTTATAAGAGTATAAACACTCTTTAAAAAAATGTTAAAATTTCCACATATATGCAATATAAGTTGCACGTATGCGCAAGAGAATTCACCATTCTCTATTAACCCCCTTACATTTAACAAATATGTTTAAAGGAATCAAATTTTATACATGTAAAATACAGTTATTGAAATAAATGACAGTTGGCTATGTACAAGTGCATCACGAATATTTTTTTCAAATACCTATCAAATAATTATGAGTAAAATATTACTACTACTTAGTAATTATCTTCTATAAGCACGCTAATGATAATAAAAACCGAAATAATATCATTATGTTAACATTAAGCGAGTCCATAATAATTATTTCAAATTAACGCGACTACGTTATGTAGGTCGATACAACAATAATTACTAAACACAATATAATGTGTCCATAAACTAGATTTAATCACTACACAATTTAGGGAAACATTGTATTCAGAGCACGTGGAAGCTTCAAAACGTTTTCCACTGTTGGTAATTTTGTCTGTGGCATTAAACTAGCCCCTCTAACTTTTATTTCGAGAAAATTAGATGCATTACGAATAACGTAATTTATACTTTTTTATTTTATAAATAATTTATTTTACATCAGTTAATATGTTGATGCATTACAAGAATAAGAAATATGTAATGTGACATAAAATATTATACTTGTGTAACAATTTTCATAATATCCATAAAATTTAGAATCAAAAATAATTTTTAATTTATCAAATAGAACTGTAAACGTTTTTGAAATTTATTACATTATTTTTGCAGAAAGTTTTGTAAAATGTAAAGTGTACTTATAAGCATATTTATTAAATTTTTTTCTTATAATATTTTATATTAAATTTTGTTGAATATGTAATTTTTTCACATTTTTACGGTCAAATAAACCATTTATTTATTTGAACTACTAAAAATGAATGTACAAAAAAAAAAAAACATTTTTTTGAATATAACATCGTAAAACACAAAAACATTCTATAAAGTCAATGGACCGGACGAAATTGTGATTGAAAATGTGCATATAACCACGTAAACATAAAATATGAAAAACTTATACCTAAGCCGTTTTACATGCGTTTTCAGACCATTTGTATTATGATATTCCCCTTTGCTTTGTATTGATAAATCCACCAATACTTATGACTTAAATCCGGATTTACAATATTTTAATAAATATTGTATACAAATCTTTATAAAAATCAATTGTTTTGTACAACAACATTAAACGAAATTCTAACCATAATTGAAAAAAAAACTTAGGCAATCAATAATTATTTATATGAATATATATGATTTAAAAGTATATACTTATAAAATAACTAGAATAGAATGGTAAATTATAACTACTTGAAAATTTAAAGAACTTAAGCAAATTTTTTTTTTGTAATCAGAAAATTATTTTTTCAATTCACATAGATAATGTTACTTATCACTTTATATATAGTAAAGAACAAATTAAGTCCATCGATTAAAATTTGTTTAATGTATTTTATAGATGCTCCATGTAAAATCGAAGAACAAAGTTTTATACATAGTTAAAAAGTTTCAAATGCAGAAGTACTTACACCTGCCGCCCTGAAGTAATGCCTAACGGCAGTTCCAGGGCGGCCCACAGTAATGCCGACCGTGGAAAAAAAAAGTACTTACACTTGAATGATCAGAATAAAATGAAACAATATGTAAAAAGTTTGACACTCTTTTGAATGAGATGTCACTAATAGGAACTTGGACAGTTCTTATAGAATTTTTTTAATTCACTGTATTAAAGAAAGCGTTTTTTGTTGTTGTTCCTTTACAGAATATTTTTTTCTTACTTTAAAGTTCTTGACTAACTATTGCTTTTTCTCTTTCAAATTCACTTATAATCATATACATTTATGTAAATCTTTCTTTTTCAAACTGGGCTCTTAAAAGTTTTTATTAAAACATAAAAGAAAAAGTACATCTTAAATAAGTAAATACATTGTTTTAACATAAACTATAGTTTATTTTTGTAGGTACCTAAATACTACAAAGAACTGCATACATCGTAATAATATGATTAACGTCTTCTTCGATTATACACTACTGAATATAATTAATGTACTAGACTAACAAGAAATGTTCATGAGTAAAAACTGAAAACAAATAACGGGAGTTCTCAAAAATCCTTTTTATAATGTATGTAGACATAAATTTTTAACTTTTTTTTTATAGTTATCTTTATGTTGTGCAATCAAGAGCGCTAGTAAACAAAATTTTCCTTATTTTTTTTGTTCATTACATTAGATGCANGCTAGTAAACAAAATTTTCCTTATTTTTTTTGTTCATTACATTAGATGCAAAATCAATTATTTACAATTGAAGATAAGAAAATTTAATATCATTTAAAATGAAAAATAAGTGTACTCACTTTAAAATCTGGATCAATTCGTTTTTTGAAAGATCCTATAATGCATAGTTTTCCATTGTCAATATCTACCATTTTAGCAATTGTCGTATATCTAAAATAAAAAATTCATATGAGTCACTGTTTTTCATTGCATGATGTATTCAAGAAATATTCAAGGTATATGTTTTGAATGAAAATATATTCACAGTGCACTTATTATAGTTTATGTTGTATTTCAGTCATAAAAAAGTCAAATTCATGGGGAATTATTATTGTTACAAATATGCACATATAACTACAACTTAGTTTATAAGAAAAAAAATGTCTGAGAATCAAAATATACATTTTAGAAGTAATTTTCAATTAACTGAAATACCTATAACGATAGTATTATACATTCCTATTAGAGTAAAAATTATTTTTTACAAAATTAATTTATACTAATAATAATAGTGTTTATCTAGAATTATAGTATAAATCTCCTACACCAAGAGAAATGTTGAGTCCTCATCTTATTTCCGTGAAAAAAATACAACTACAATACGATTTATTGTGATATATCATGTTCAGTATTATATAAAAATTAATTAATAAAATAAACTGTTCAAAAAAATTTTTATCCGTTTTATTAGTTTAATTATAAGTTTCTTTTATTTAAAAGAAACTTGTATTTTTTGATTTTAGACATGATATTTCGTTTACGACTGGAGAAGTCTGTCGCCCCAGAGCATTCCACTGAAACAATATCTTGAATAATTTAACCATCACTTCTCCCTTTATATCTTTCTCAAACGATTTACAGCCACAGCCCACTTTGAATTGCCTGAAATTATGTACTCTGCAATACGCGTAATAATAATATTGTCCGAGAGCGATCCTATGTATTCTTCTAATGGCTGACAATAAAGGGTGAAGATTTGCTTAGTTTGCAGACGATGCAGTTGGTTTTTGTTTAGCATAACGGAATGAGATATCTGGGAGAATTATTTGAAAAATATTGTTATATCCAACAAGTTCTTACTGGCTATTGATGAATAGCATTAAAGTAACAACTTAATTTTAGAAAAGTTTTTAAATAAGACATTAAAGACTTTAATTAATGGTGTGTTACCTTATATTCGAGTTATTTGTATAAACGTCTGAACTAAGTTCATCTAAATGCCTATCTATCTATATCTTCCATGCCTACCAATTATAAAAAATGACAAATCTATTAAAAAAAAATTTTATATTGTTTTAATAATACACGAGTTTTTCTCAAGAATATTATTACAAACAAATATATTATTATTGCTTATCAAGTTATAATATATAGTTTTTCTTTATTACAACAGCAAAATATTGTGTTGTCCATTTATCAAACATTGCCTTTCTTAATATACTTTGGTTTCACTATGATATCGGTTTGACATAAAAGTTTTAGGAAGAATTCAATGATAGAAATTCGATACATTATATTAAAACGTACTTTTTCTACCGAATAAACGTATATATACGTACATGTATACAAAATCTACAACGACAGGGTAACTTTTAACAAGGCAATTTCCTACTTTCCTCTCGCGATATTTCTCTCCTAACTCATTTTCTGTCTTTTGTTCGTTTTAATCTAACCACGCGTATTGCAGCAGCCATTGCGCTTTAACGAGCTTCCTTTGCCTATAAAAAGATTAATCAACCGTACGAAATGTTTGAAGTAAAGAATCAACTAAAGTGTAATTGTCTATCTGCTTCTTTCAGGAAATATTAAGTTGAGTTAAAGAAAAAATATTGTACAAATTTCAGATAACTTCTCATATAGTCTAGTTAAAAGCGGATTTCATTCCACACTATGCCGTTTCATCTGACGATATCAATGGTCTGTACAGCCGTTTTCAAACAAGCCAATAAATTGCCATTTAGGGACTCAGGATTTATAGCTTGTCCAAAGGTATGCAAATTGAAACTTACTGCCAACGTCTTATCTCGTTAGATTAATGCCTTTCCTCAGTGATCAGATCCTTGCAGTGTAGATTAATTATTCATAATACATTACACAGGCAATACATACAAAACACCTCTGCTATAATTAGCATTCAAAAGTGTTTCGAACAGATTATATTAATAATGTAATTTATCTCGAGCAAATATTTTTCAATATTTACAAATCAAATTAAAGTACTGGATTACGAATAATGTTTATTTTATTCATTTAATTTGAGATAATTTATTTTCTACAATAAGATTTAAAAAATAAGGCGCTTAAGTTTTTGTTGTTCATTTATGTATTTTAATGAGTAAAAAGACTGTTTAATATTATAATACTTAAAATATACAACTTAAAACTAAACATTTTACCTAATCATTGTTAACTAAACATTAACAATCGTTTTTATTGAAAAATGCTCATTAGTAATTTTTGTTATATTGTAGTTGAAATTTTAAATAAAGTATTGAATAGTAAACATGTTAGTAACGCAATTTTATAGAAATTATTTTAAACAAATTTCTTTTTACGCGTTTCCGTTAAAACTTCACAAAATTTAACTTCAAAGGCTAGTGTATTTTTCTATAATAATAATTATTTAAAGAAGCGTTAACAAGCGCCCGAACGTCTCGGAAGTTTAGAAGTTTTTTATTAAAACTTATTAAAACCTATTGAATCTATTTAATGCATATACTTGTGTAACTTAGTACTTGAAATTTTCACTGCAGTAAAACTTGACGCACTAGGAGTATAACTAGATAAGTATATGTTACTTTAGATCTACTACCATTTTTTTCGCTAAATTATTTCGAGTATTAAGTACACATAATATATTTCTCAAAAGTTAGCCAATTAAAAATACAATTTACAATGCAGTTAAAAAGTGTAACGATTTTCATTTTTTTCTTGTGTAGTATTAAACATTTCTAAACTTATTTAAATAATTTTCAAAATGATTCAAATAGGTCAAAAATTGTTCCATTATAAAATTGTCCTTGCATTAGTTCACGTTTATTCATATTGTGAAAGTAATCGTCGGTGTACATAACAATTTAAAAAAAGTGTACATAAATGATCATGACTTTAATGCCCTTAGACATTCCTCCAGAGACTTATGCGCGCTGTTCACAATTTAGTAAGCAAATATCAAATGTCAGGTCATATTTATGTTCTCATTTATGTGTAGGATCTGGGGTGTTATGTGCTCGAATAGCACTTGATGTCAGCTTTGCTGAACAAGCTTTATAATGAAAAAAAACGTTATCCTTTGGGAACACTGCATTTTACCAAATGTTTGCGGTTCGATTTTAATTCATCCGTTTTAGAGTTTATTTTTGTCACGGGAATTGACATTTTTTGCTCGAAGTTTCCCGTTACTTTTATTCAGCGTAATTTTTGTATTATAAACTAGTTTTTGTTCTCAAATAGATAATATTTGTATTATAATAAACTGAAGATATAGAAATATTTATTTTATATTAAAAATAGTTGTTGACAAATATTTTAATTGAAAATTGTATGAAATTATTTTTTTAATACAAGATATACATGGTTTTTGTATTTCGAAATTTAGAATATATTCGTTTAGAAAAAACATATTTTCAATTTTGAATCGATTTCTTGTATATCAGTTAAATTTAGCTAAAATTGTATTTTTATCTAAATATTAACTTAAAAATATATACATTTTTTCATATCAAAATAAATACTATGAAATCTAAAAGTATAGTAAAAACTATATAAATAAATTACTACATCAATTAATCGATAAATATTTTTAAATGTTTGTTGCAATTTGTGGAATTATTATTCCATAATAAATTATTTTTTATTTCATTTATAATTTTTTAATTTAAACAATATTCAAGGAACACTGTCTAAAACTTCATATATTCTCTATTGTTTTTAATTATGCACTATGATTAAGCTATAAGTCAGATAAATTACAAACTAATATGTATTTGAATAGTCATTATTTTGTAGTTTGCCATTAAACTTTAAAAGTGTTTACCTATAATCTTACATAAACTTACTGAGATTAGCTACCTGTACATATTAAGAGCATCCTAAAAATTTTCTATTTAATTATAACTGTACAAACTCTCCTTGTTTATCTTTTTATTTAAACATTAGTAAGTTTTAATAGAATAAGAAATAAAACTCTTGGTCGAGGGGTTGTTGTTCTATGAGATGCGAATGACGCAATTTATAAAATCGTTGGCGGAAAGTCAATTTCATAAAAATTAGTTTTGGTATAAATGTTATAAATAGAAAAGAGAAAACAAGGTATGAGAAAAATACCACAGGAGACAAGGGACGACTGAGTAAGATCTCAACTATTCTTCCCTTGTTCCGTTTACCCGGCTTTTACGTGATATGCTGTTTGGAATACTAAATGAACCTAAAAACCGATAACACCTAATATTATGATATGTTAGACAAATAATGTACTACATATCTTGTTAAAGAATCCTCATACAGCAAATCGGATTAAATTTTTCGTTTATTATGTTTGCCGTTTTCTACGGGATTTGCTTCTGAAAATCATATATCAGTATTACACATCTAAAATGCAGTTACCATTTTAAAAGTTTAAAATTAGAAACCATGCATAATTCTGGTAGTCTATTAAACGCACGAACAGAGATGGCCGGAAGTATAGTTATGAAAAATGTATGACCGTTTTATGAGGAGAATACGTTAAAAGAAATATAATGAAATCAAAAGAGGGAATGTAAATGGAAAATTCAAAATTGTATTGCGACTTACACAAAGATGTACATTTTATAGAATTAATTTATAAACTACATTTTCCCTTAAATACTCTACTACGAGATGTATTTAAACATATTGTGCGAGTGTTTTGTGAAGAAAAATTAATTACTTATTTTAATATTTCTATTCACAATAAATATATTACACTTACTTTCTAGTTCCAGTAACTTCGACTACTTTACATTTACTACGGTTCCACCATATGGGAGTTAAAGTCCAATAACTTGATACAGCACTTCTAGCCCATCCTTCTTCGGGATACAGTAAAACCTAAAACATAATGGAAGTTGGCGATTAAGTGCTAACACAAAATAAAAATATATTACATATTCAAATGATAATATAAATATCACCTACATATTTGAATGAAATAAAAAAAATTTAACCTTTTTATCTTACATATATTATTGTTTAATCAAAATCCTATTACCTTCACATAATCATACTAGATTGTGTATAATATTTATCCCCGAGCATAATACAATAGAGTATTTACTATAAGATTATATTAAAGATGACATCATATACAATTTAATGAAATTTTTTTTAACTTCAAACTTAAGTTACTTAAATTTTCATTATTCGTGGTTGCTAAACCCCCAAAAAAAAAATTTGCCTGATCACTGAAATATAAACCTACATTTTAACTTTACTTTCCGTTTAACAAATTCAAAGATGATAGTTCAAAAAGTTTTATTTCACATAACTTCGAGTTCAATTTGTCTTGATTTAGATAACAACTAAGTGGTCGAGCAGGTTGCACTATGGAAGAAATTCACGTGAAAAAACTAATGGTTACCTCACCAAAAACCAGCGAACACATAGATATAAATTAGGATAAATGTGAATTGAAAGACGCTTGTATTTGGTTTGACAAAAGTTTTGCAATCCGCTTAAAAAACTTTACTTTTGGAAAGCTTGAACGTTTCTTGCTTCACGGATGATTTTACGTCTACAATAAGAAAATCTTATTGTTTGCATCAAAAACCTGATCTTAATCAATAAAAAATATACATATATAATATATATACATTCCTATATTTTATTCGAATTTAATAATAACATGCATTTGTGAATTCAAAATAAAATATAATAAAAAATGATTATAATCTGCTTTGAGTTTTGTATATATATAATACACAAAATTGGAATTTCCGTCGAGGCTGACTGATTTGCAATTAGGAGAATGAATGAAGGAAATAATATTATGCAAAAAAGGCGCCCCGGGTGATGTGGCTACAGTCTGATGTCCTCAATTGAGGAGATTGAAATATTTTCCTCTCCATTCGTTTTTACCTCAGAAATTATTGAACTTCCGATTTATACGGAAAGATTTTTTTTACAATGTGAAATTTATAATAGCACTAAAACTTGCATGTTATATTCATTTTTTTTTTTTTTTATAAATTTTAATACTTATATTTTAGTAACATTATTACAAAACAGTGTGCCATAAATAATTTATAAAATTTAATAGTACAGTTTTTATTTTAATCAATCAATTTGGATGTGAATAACTTTTTGTTTTACTACATAATGGCATACTTTAAAAACATTCATATTAATTATTCCTATTTGTACAATTAACTAATCATCGACTATAAAATTAAGATGTGCGCATATTAAGCCACTTATAAAATAAATAAATAAATGATGCACTACTAATGTTTAGGTAATATCGGTTATATTAACTGGAAAAAAATGTTTTAAATGTTCAGATTTTAAACCCGTTCAGTAAGGAAAAATCGTAGATTCTTAACCTCGTGGTCTTACATTACTTTACCCTAATTAAATATAGAATGAAATAGGTTATCAAATTAACTCTACAGAAAGTCCAACTTGATCGAATTGTTAAAAGTTAGTACAATCTCATTGTACTGATTGTACTAACTTTTAACAAACCGATCAAGTTGGACTTACTGTAGAGTTATATACATAAAAAATAGTGAAAAATGATCAAAGTAACTTTTACGGTAGTACATACTTAAAATATGTTAAAAACCAGCATAATGAAAAAGAAAAACACTTGAAATGAAATCCTAATTATTTTAATGTTCAGAAACTTACTTTATAATAAACATATTCTCCTATTTTTAAAGGTTTACATTGCAAAATTACTTAAAAACGTGATAAAAGCACACGATTCCTGAAAATTTTTGTTTAATAAATATTATGTCGTTATGAGAAATTTAATTTCAAGATATTTTAATTTAAGCTCAATGATTTTATTATATAAAAATTATTTTATGAAATCATAAACAATATAAAATCTATCAATAAAGTGAAATAATAGTTTATTTTATTTAGCAAAATGAGTAATAATAGTAATAATAATAATATAAAAAATATTTCTTGATTATAATATTATAATAATCAACTAGTTTAAAAAGCACAAGAACAAAAAAAAAGCGATTTAACTTATAATGTTGCTGACTTATTGCCACGTTTTTTAAATTAAAGGCTCAGAATCATATTCTGATGTTTCTAAATTAAGATAAAAATGATGAATACACCTATTCAAAAAAAAAGATTTTCAATAAATAAAATAAAAAATATAGTGATTTCAATTTGTTCGTCAAGTAGAATACATAAAAAACATTTTGATTTATTCTTTGCTGTCTGAATTTTTTTTTCTCGAATAATTGAGTTTACTTGTTTTTTCACAGAGTCCTTCAACTAAAATTATTATCTAAGTTTGTTTCAAACATATTAATATTGTGTTAAATATGAGTTAAATTAACTAATAATTTAGTTTTCTTAACTCCGAAACAAAATAATAATTTAATGTTATTTATATGTATGAATGTTAAATAAGAAAAATATAGAAATAAATTTATAACATCAAAGGTCATATACCACAAGTTTAGACTCATATGATATATTTGCCACTTTTCAAGTCATGTATCAAAGTGCTTTTGGTTAATCCCCTTAGGGATTAACTTTCACTAAGTTTGATCTCAGAAAAATCTACATAACCAATCCATTATTGAACTAAAAAATGTAGGTCTACATCTCAAATAAAATCAATTACGAAATTTAATTCAATTTTTACTGAAGAAAAGTAATTTTAATTAATTATTGACTTAATTAAAATATAAGGTTCAAAAAATTAAGTTATAATAATAATTAATGTGATTGACAATGTCAGGATAATCCATCTAAGAATTTATTTACTGAACGGAATCAATTGAAAGCGCGTAAAAATATATTTTATTGTTACAAGTTTTAATTTTAAAAATAAATCTCACCATAATGCATAGAATTAAGCGAACGAGATAAAATATACTTTTAAATTTATTATGATATTTTCAATTACACTATACTGAAATAACGCGCAATTCAAACTGATTCACGCAGTAGATGAGCTCCTGGTACTTGTTAAATGTTTTAAGACTTCACCGGTATCAAAATGAAACGTAAACGACTTCATATGGTAACGGATTTTAATGGGTTACAATTTTCAAGTGTACATTTTACATCTTTTAACTAACATTTTAACTAACAAGTCCCTAGTAAAAATTAAATGTTACCTCGTCAGGATCTTAACGTGACGCAAGCGACATTTACGATATTACGTTAATTGAAAATAATCATTCTGCTTCTGCGTCCCTGGTACACATTCGTCGTTTTGATACCTCGNTTAAATGTTACCTCGTCAGGATCTTAACGGGACGCAATCGACATTTACGATATTACGTTAATTGAAAATAATCATTCTGCTTCTGCGTCCCTGGTACACATTCGTCGTTTTGATACCTCGTCGGGATCTGAATGGTACGTAAGCGATACTGTACGTACNCGTCGGGATCTGAATGGTACGTAAGCGATACTGTACGTACGAGTGTTGCGTTTTAGTGATTTTAAAACCGGTTTCATAGAGCCCTGGTAATGTTTGATATATTAAAACGACCTTGTGTGTACAAATGTGTAAAATGTGATTATTGAAAAACACAAACGACTGTTTCACATTTAACGTGATACGTTTTACGTGACACGTTTCCAAATACGAATAATATTATTTTGAAGATACATGAACTGTATTTACTTCAAAATAAATATTACCTATATTGTCTACTAACATTTTTTATTATTATATTGACGGTTTAAAAAAATTTCTTTTTTATGGTTAATCCATTTTTGTAACCCTCACTAATAATAAAACCAAACAATATTCCTTTGTACACTCTCCTTTAGCAATATTTGTACGGATGGTCATTACAACAATTATACAATTCTCTCTGGTTCATCTTTCATGACACAATACATTGTTTCATTGTTACATTTTAAAAGCATGCTAGGTCCGTATAACAATAATAACTAGACAAAAGTATATTTTTGACAGGAAATTTTTGAGCATCATCATAACTTTCATACTCGTTATTTGTCATTGTCATGAATTTTGTAGCTGGAAGGAAGATGAACTCTGGTATAAATTACTTTCAGCTTTGGAACGCAAACGAATATGTCGCGCTTTTTGTAACAAAATTATTTATGATACAATAAAGCTTAGATTGCCTTCGAACCATCCCAGGTAACTATATTGTCGTTATCATGTAATTATATTGTAGTAATGCCGTTATGGTAAATAATAATGAAGACTTGCTTTTTGACGTTCTCATTAAAACTTCAGTATGATTATAATGTCAAATTGAAATACTAGCAGTCTTCAACTGAACTTTTTTGGAGAAAACTGTCTTATTTTGTATGTATAATTTTATGTAAATTTCTTAAGACGACAGTAAAATTATTATCATTAAGAAAAATAAACAAGTATCTTAATACGTAATCTCTCAACGTCCCATCCTTTCGAGCAAAATATATTATGTATAATTAACTAGACAATAATTAAACAATGCCATTTATCAGAGACAAACAGGGATGCCAACGGCTCAGATGGCATAAAAATTATCATATCCCTGTTTGCTTCAAAACATTTTTACATCGATAAAAAATATAAGGAATTCAAAAATACTTTGAACACTTATAATTACCTATTATAATTAAAAATCTAATTTACTAATAATTGTTTTTATCAAGAGCGATACAACAATTGACTTAGATTATAAATAAACCATTGCTTATCAGTGCAAATTATTAGAAAATGAAAAGATAAAATAAAAAAATAATAAAAATAATAGTTAAAATAGTAATCAAATTCTTTTGTTAGCCTAAAATAATTATACACGAAAATAAAAACAACATTTTATACTTAATGATACTAAACGAAATAATGAGAAAATTAAAAAAATATTTATGACGCAAATATTAAGTTTTTATTCATAAAAATACTTGTTTTTCTCAATTATTTTTGTTACAAAAAAAAAAAAAAAATGTAATTTGTTTGGCTAACCCAATTCCTCAAAGTTTGCAGCAATTTAAAAAAAAAAAAAAAAAATGTAATTTGTTTGGCTAACCCAATTCCTCAAAGTTTGCAGCAATAGATTTTGGTGTACAATCGAAAATTAGGAAAGTAAGATTTTCAATAATGATAAAAATAAGCTTTAAGAACTATACTTGAAAACCTTAACAAACCAATTCGATTGTATTTGCTAGAATCGATACAACTTTATCATTTAAGAAACTTTCAAAATATTATTAACTATCACAAACTTATAATATCTTCAAAACTCATACCATTGTAATCATATTGTACAAATAGTTTACCTTTACTTTTGATATTTTGAACTAGTAATAATAATGCTACAAGATTGGATTAAGACAAAATGAAGCCCGGAGACAAAATTCAAATGAGCCTATTATACAATAGGCATTATTTAAGCTTTATATTATTTTAATACTAAACAATAAAAATGAGGCTCAAAAATTATAGTCATGTTTTCCATAAATCTAATCCAAATATTCTTGCTAAAAATTTACACCTACGTTTTTCATTAGTTTAAAAAGTAAGGTGAAGAAATATTGGATATTTGAAGAGCTACAATGCATAACTTACTATGTCTAAATATAAAATGTTTTTTTGCACAAAATTATTATTTTCAAATTAATTTTACTATAGGAAGAAGTACAAAAAATAATCATGCCATTCGATGTCACGTCCACATTATAATAAGAATTGATGTGTTAACTCAAATTTGATACAAATAGAAAAAGTACGTTTTTCATTATAACCCCACAAGTATTTTGTTTCTAACATTGTAAAATAAATAGTTATTTGTCACATATTATAAGTTTTGTTTACAAACATGTTTATTTTTTTTAAAGTATGTTATTTTTTTCATCTTTTAAATGGTTATTTATATGTATACCAAAATTACATTTATAAAGAATGGTATCATCGTATACAAAAAAAAACAAATGTTCTTAACTAGACAACGTTCCTGAAAACTGCAAGACACGTAAAAAAATAACAATTATTTTGTTGAAATTTAATAAGTGTTAAAATCTTAAATCTACATAAAAAAAGAGTGTTTGTGTTAGTAATGCGTACTTAAGAAAAATAATGAGTTTAATTATAATTTAGAAAAAAGCGCAATTATAAACTACTTTTATTTAAGCTTTTTTGTAAATTTATTAATATTAAGTAATGGGCATAACAACACACTTATACAAAGTTTATATCAAATTGTTAAATAAATCAAAACTTCCCACTTTTTTCTGAGGATTATAAAAAAAATAATTGCAAAAAAAAAAAAATAATAAAAAGCTAGTTAAATGATAATTTTTATTATTTAAAAGCTCTTTGTTTCATGATTGAGTACTAAAAATAGTAGAATGCATTTAAATGATTAATGAGTTCGCCTTGGTAAAAAAAATATTTTTGTGAAAAAAAATAAATAACAGCACGATTTTTAAAAGGAAATGTATTTACTCTGGTAAACTTAAGAATCCCTGGTAAAGTGTCTTACTTTTTATAACATCAATAATTGAACATCACATTTTTTTTTTGTTTTCAGGTAGAAATCATCTGATTTAAATGAATCCCATCGAATTTGAATTAGTTTTTACATTTCGATTCTGAACCCTATTTATACTCTGACGGAACAACAATGGATCATTCGACTCGTATTTTTTCGTTTAAATTATACCTCACAGAAGCATAATATATATTTAAAAAAAAAACGTTTTTGCTCAGGTGAATAAAAACTCGGGGAAGTTTTGAGGGCTGCCGTTACGTACATAATTGAAAATGTCTCTTATGAAAAACCCTTATCAATGCCCTCACACATGTCCAGCCTCAGACCTCAAGGGAACTTTATACTTAAAAACCAGAACTCACGCAGAATTAAACTTTTAAGTTCTTTTTCGAACAACAGGTTGTATATAATTTAAACCTTTACTTTTTAATCCAATCCAATGCACTCAAATATAGGTATGTCTATTGAATTAATGGAAAAAAATAATGTTTTTATTCGAAAGATTAATAGAATAATAAATATTTTGATTGTTAATATAACATATTTTATCAATATTTGGAGAGGTCTTATTTTTATTTGTGAGATTATACTAAGTTATAAGTAATTTTTTCTTTTTTGACTTAGAATCTAAATCTTGAACTTTAATTTAAAGGTATGGACAATTCAGCTTTTAAATCGAAATTCCTATGATTTTTTTTTCGAAAATTAACTTAATGAACATGAAAAAAGAAACTGTTATCACCATACCCCCACGCGACATCATCTCTGGTTGTACCACTGGTTATACTTAATCAGTGTCAGCCCGAGATCTTGGGGTTCTGGAGACTATTTCCCTTAGAAGTCCCGCAAGTTAAAAAAAATGTTTCTAACTTAATGTTGGATCACAGGGCTCTATCGCCAAATCGGGGTGGACTAGACCAACACTGCATTTAATCGAAAATATTGAAGAAAATTCATTGAAAAAAATGAAACCAAGTTGTAAAATGTTCCGTTATTTCATTCAATTTATTAAACTCCATTATAAAAAAACAGACATTGACGTCTCGAAATCAATTTATACATTTTATTTGAATAATCATATTGTTTTTACTGAATTGCTTCAACACGAATATGCCATTAACAGTTCGTTCGAATACACACTTGAAAAAATACGTATTTTCAAAAATTATTTTATAACTTCTATATAAATGTTAAGAAAAAAACCTAAACTTAGATTAAGTGTTCAAATAAAATATGAGTGCGAGCGGATTAAATTAGACAGCGAGTAACGCGAAAAGCGATACGTTTTGTTGCTTACTATGTCACGAGCGCAGGGTGGCGGCCATTGAGAAATAATGCGCTTTTTTCTTATGACGTCTGGTAAATATCACGATACTTCATAAACGAACATTTTTCGCTACACGGATACTTAAATAAAAATAAACAATGCATAATCCAACGATAAAATATCACGTTATAGGTATTACAGGTTCGAAGAATTGTACGGCAGGGGTCGAGTAATGTTTAACATGACATGTAGCCTTTGCGTCAAATGGTATGCAAATCTAATCTAAGTGCCGAACTCGACCGACGCCACAGGGTGTAGGGTGACCGGAAAAAAACGAGACACACGCATATACCCTTGACGCCTGGTTGTTTTAAGCGAAATCCCTCTTATAGGCCCCGTATAAAACACACGACAGGACGAGGTGCTGCTATTAACCCTTAAGCAAAGAGGGCGATGGTTTTTTTCTTTCCACAGTATTTTTCGTGTCGCAGCATCGGGTCTGTGTGTGCGGCAATTTTGGAGGGCATATAATAAACAACCGTACGACGGCGGTGGCCCGAAGCGCACATAATACCAGACAATAATATCGCGTATTATTTATAATATCGAATTTCTATGTTCGAAAGAGAATATATAACACATAATAAAAATGTAGAGAGAGAAAAAAGGATAACGCGTTTCATGGATAGTAAGTATCTCATTTGATACAGAAATGTAAAACAATAGTCTAAGGCACAAGACCGGAAAAATGGGGTGCATGGGTACGCACAATTTTACAGCGTCTTTAAAATTGATATTTTAATTTCGGACACTTGTATTGTTATCGTGATAGAATGAACAGTGAAATGGTCGCTTACTTTCTGACAAACGGAACAAATAAAATATTTTCCTCGGTCGGTGATGGAAATAAAAAGTTCACTTCGAGTATACTTTTAAAGCGACGATTTCCGCGATAACGCGATATGATATTATAAGAAACTCTCGCTACGTTTCCAATATTTTTGTTGGATCGTGTAATCTCTCAATTTCCACAGTATACCCCTGAGATTTGAATAAGACAATTAATTATTTTTATTAAATGAGGTAGCTTTATCGATGTTTTTCTGCTGTTCTTTGTTACTTTTACATATTTTTAAAAAAACATTATCTGTCATTTTTCTTAGAATTAATTTTTTACATAAAAAAAAAAAATTAAAAAATAATACAATGTTCAGCATTTTAAACCTTACAGAGTTATATATATTTTAATACTGTAATAATATATAAAATATATTTATATGGCGTAAACGCGGTTACTGTTTGATATAAAGATATTTGATTGTTTCACAATAAAATAATTTTACATGGAATGGTTTATAGACTTTTAAACAATAGTTAAAGAAACAAGAATTTTAATAACATGTAAAATATGGCGCTCATTTTTAAATAAAACTCTTATAAATAGTTTTTCAGAAATAAATTGAGAATAATAATTATAATTTTCTCCAATTTTTTTCAAATGTATTCTACGTGACAAAAATTTGTAATGAGTTATATATTTAAAAATAAAATAAAAACAAAAGACATTACTAAAGCAAATATTATTTTAATAATCTCACTTATTATTTATCTATTTTAGTTAGTTGAAAAATAATATCCATTATTATGTATTAATAATTCGAAAATTCTAAAAATACATAATAATAAACATGTATTTAAGATTAAAGCATATCCAATTTAAAAAATAAATCATACAAATTAAAAAAAAAATCATAATCAGAAATGAAATTTTTTTCATTACTGTAAAACAAGCAATATAAATCTTCTTACTTTATTTGGATATTCATTAAAACGCATAATTTTCCTACATGATTTCCCACGATTTTCACGGTAGAAAGTTTGAACTGATCCAGGACTTTCTTGGTATATTGACTTATGATCTTGTTTAGATTTTTTTTTCATTTGAATACGCGGAAAACATCCGAATAATGTACCACAACATTCATCTTTTTCCTTCATTTTGATTATCGAAGACAACTTCTAAACCTAATTGTGGGTTCAAAAGTTTTCGATTTATTATTGTTTAATTTTATTTTTTCAAATTTATTAGGAATTGTTCTATCCCGAAAGATACACGCAGCTTTAGCTGGTGTACGCGCGTGTGTCGTGACAACACTGAAGTTTTCCCAGACTATAACAGAGATGTAGCTTTTCGTCTCCTCTGCGCCGCTACCACACTATCCGTCCCGGGAAACACCGGCAGCAGACGCGCATCCACCGTTGCCTAGGGCGACCGGAACTACCACTACCACACCAATACCTTGTAACGTATGTTGGCCAAGCATGAGCTTATCACTGTCGCCTCCGACGTTTACAAGACATCAGACTTGTTCAAAGCAAAGGGTTATGAACTTTGGGTTGATGATTTGGAAATGTGTTAGCGAGTAAGAAAAGTGATGAATTTTATGAAATTAATTCCATTGCGCTGTGTTACGTAAGTTTTCCTGTTCTCTCAAGCTGTCAGTGTTATCATTTTTTATAATGAAGTATTCCAAATTATTTTCAGTACATAATAATTGTACTTCTAAATATTTTATTAAAAATTGATCTAATCGCTATAAAAGTGGGGAATGCGTAACACTTTAAGAGTATCCACAAAAGTAATTTGAAAGTAAATTTTTTGGAATCATTAAAAAATAAAATTCAGACTTCGTAAAGTGTTTTTTGTTTTTTCATTAAAACTGCAAAGTTAAACTTATTTTAATTTATAAAAGACACAAAAAAATAATAATATGACCAAGAACTATATTGCAATAATTTTATTGTATTTTATCATATTTATATTATATTATATTCATTATCAATGTAATATGATTTAGAATTTAAAATTATAAAAAACAAAACCAACAATAAACTGAAAATAGGATATAAAATCAAAGGTGATTGTTTTGTGTCTAAACCATATACTTTAAAAGTGGTGACCAGTATCACAGTAGATCATGTACACTTACAGATATTAGCTATAATAAATATTTAAATACAAAAATAAATATATGAAAACAATGCTCGAAATACATTTACAATACAGAATACAAAATATTACGATACAGTTATACAGCTATTACTCCCCAAATGTTGTACCCCAAAAGATTCTTCACGTGGATATCGACATCTTTCTATATTCGCATAAGTGGGAATATCGTGCCTATACCAAGTTTGGATTCGTAAATCATTGAGTGCTCACTTAGCCGGTTAAGTTGAATTCACACTTTGACTTACAAATATTTAAACAAAATAAAAAAAAAAAAGTGCTGAGAGCAGAGCACAAGTCCGTTGGGTGCATAAGATGAAGACTATACCACTCATCCCAATAAAATTGATTTAGGTTCGATGTTAAACGGTGGGGCCAACAATAACATCATCGACTCGGTTATATGAACGAGAAAACATTGATAACTAAGTTATAAATTATATTTGTTAGAAGATGGTTTAATGTGGCAGCAAAATTTTGTTTATATTCAAATTTCTATAAAGAAAACATAATAAAATAAAAACTATTGTTCATATTCAAAAGCTGATAAGTCAAAATCATAGGCTTTTTAAGATATTTTGAAATTTGTATTGAGAAGGATGTTTATCGTGAGCCGAAAAATTAATTATTGATTTAATCAATGTTTATTTTGTGCATTCAAAGATGTCGATTTGCATTAGATATAGTTATAATTTTTAATTTACTTCTACTCCAATGAAAAGTTGTTAAAATTAACATATCAGGTTTTGGAAAAAACCCATAGAAATAATGACTTGTTATAGTATAAAAATATTTTAATTAAAAATTATTTTATTATTTGTTGAAATTTGGTCTTTTATTTTGCTATGTTGTTGATCAATAATGTTAATATACACAAAAATAATTTATAGTATACAATCTTTTTTTATTGTTTTTGATATTGTCTCTTTCATTTATGCACCAGCAATTTTCAATTAATTCAAGTAAAGTTTCTTTAAACATTAAGTTATTTAATTAAATTAAATAACATAACATTACAAAGCTTTTAAACAATTGAATATAAAAATATCTATTTTTTTACATGACGTCTCAATAAAAACTAAATCTTTTAAACTATTTCGAATCACCCACATATGAATATAATAATATTTGTACTGAGGTTAAATACGTAAAAAAAAATGACAATCATCTAAATCTTTTTTATTAATTATGATTTTTTTTTTTAAATTAAGGAATTAAATAAAATAAATAGCTAAAATTAAAACATCAGCTAATTAATTACAGATAGACATGATATCTTAGACATATAGATGCTGTAAGTGATCTTAAAAAATATAGAGTACGACCAATAGGTTTAATACTTGTCTAAGTTGTTGGTCGACAAGCAAAGTTCAAAAATTTAATAAAAGTCAAAAGATAAGTCGTTTACATCGAGTACTCCAGATGACTGTAGTGTTCTTGTACATTGGATTCCCTAATGACGTGTCTATATACCATCATTCCTTTGCTCACCCTGTCTTATATCCAGTGTTTTCTTTATTTCCTTTACTTTTTACCGAGTGTCAGTATTATTTTCATTTGAACGCAGACAATTTTCCATATATAAAAATCCCACGGGGTTCATGGTTCTAGGTTAAAAATGGGTTTCTCAGGATAAACTATAAAAAGTCTAAAAAATATAAAGAATAAACGTCTGTACGTGTCTTGAAGAATTCATTTAAACGACTTTACCACTCCTGAGTTAAGACTGAGTAGACGGATAAGAAAGAAGGCCAAACACATTTTTTTCTATTGTCTCCGATCAACTTTCATATGCTTTTGGTGTTCCAAATGGGTTTTTTAGCAGGCTTTTTCCTCAATACCTCAGTAACCAGAAAGGGGTTTGAATAATATCGTTATTACCACCAAGGGACGATTTTGTAGTTATAAATACGTAAAATATTCACTTAAGCCTACGATGCAGTTTACCTTGGTAGTTTAAAACACCACATCGCCGCTATAGTGAATAAATGATAGATGCAAAAATGTGGTTAGCTAAATTCAAGAATTAATAGATTTATATTACGGAATAATTTTGTAGAATTAACAAAACATATCTTCAAATAAAATCACTGGAATTCTTCAATATATATTTTTAGTTCTAATTAAAAAAAAATGAAGACACATAAATATAATTTCAAAAAAAAAATAATATATGGTAGCCATTATCACCGTGAAGACAAAATAAAGTCCGAAATTTATTTTTTTATAATAAAGTATATTATATAAGCTTCAATTTAATACATATATAAAAGTGTCAGTATTTCCGGAATACTTTCGAAAATTAATTTGAAAAAGTTCTACTTTCTATATGCATTTTTAAGTTTTGACCCTCCCCCCATGGTCCAATTAAAAAAAAGTATATTACGTAAAACAAGTATATAAATAGTAATTATCATAAAAAATTGTAATGATCCATACATTTTTCTAAAAGTTATAGTATTATAAAATTTAAAATATAAAAAAGAATTTTTTTACAAAAATCGTATTTTTTTATTAACTTTGATATCTGTTTTCACTGTGAAGACAAAATAAAGTCCAAATTTTTTTTTTAATATTAAAGTATATTACATAAGTTTTAATTTAATGCTTAATATTAAAATTAACATCGAAGCTAAAAAAGTTGTAAGTTATAATTTAAATAAGTTTAACATAAATATTTTTTTCTACAAAACAATTGATAAATAAAATTATTATAAACACGTATAAAAAACGTCGATAAGTGTTGAGTTATTAATGAACATCGATTATGAAAAATACATATAAATGTTTTTTTATGGACATTTTTTAAATAATAAGGTAATTTATTATCTACGATTATCAAATGTGTTTGCCAATTTTTTCCCTTTACATGATGCAAATTTTACTTTTATCTGAACAAATTAATAAATTATAATTCAACATTTTTTAAAACAATTCCAAAAATCACAAAGTTTAAGGGAGGACATTAAAAAGAAAGTCAATCGGAAAAACTAAATCAGGCAAGGGAATAGTAAAAGATTTAAATATTGTTTTATTTTAAATATTTTTTTTAAAAAGTTTTATTGAAAAATGGAATAATTTTGTTGTATCATTTTTTAAGAGGAGATCCCAAGCTATAATTGTTATTATTGTGATGTTATAAATGCATATTTTAATAAAGATGTATAATTCATTATTTAAAGTCCAAAAAAATAACGATTTACCATTCGACTTACTACACCGAATCAAAAACGTTACCGAAATATGTTCAAAAATACATTTTAACTGTTTTGAACATATTTTATAAATTTGTATAGTATCATTTTTTTAAATTGAAAAAATAAAAAATAGTTAAAAACTACCAGTTATAAGCTATAAGTAATTAGTTAAAGTAAATAAACCATGGACTATTAACTGTGAACCAATGCCGTGGTATTATTATTGTAAAGAAAAAAACATTTGTCAGAAATAATTAATTAACCCTTTAGCAGGTGCGTGCCTATTTTTAACGTTCATAGTTACACGGGGGGGTTTATCAAATCTCTAAAATAGTATAAAATATGTATAAAAAAGTTTTTTTTTTTAATTCAAAGACATTATTTGTTACCATATGATATATAAATATGGATAAAAATTCAATAATAAAAATTAAAAATAAATAAATTACAAAATTATGAGCATTACCGTCATGTCTGTTGTCGCGTGCGTTTGTAGTCGACAGTTCACGACGAAAAAAACAAAACATAGTCCAAAGCGAATTAATAAAATCTCTTTTGGAGACCACAAATCGAACACACATATTAGTTAAATAAGTTTTATTGAAATCAAGGTAATATTTATAAATTTACTTTATAATTTATTGATAATAGTAATAACTTTATCATACTCGATTGGGTAATCGAACTCTTTTGACCACCGCACCCGATACGTCGACCATCGTTCTCAAGTTCAACTACTCTAACAACTCACACCTAATACACAATGAATTCTCCCGGAAAATCAGTATCAAATATTAATAAAAATAAATTGAACAAAACCGATACACCGCTGTTTATCTCCAACCTGAATAACAATACTGGTGATGCATCGCCTTGTGATTTCTCTGATAATGATGACTGGCAGACAGTCGAACACCAAAATAAATGTATCAAATCCCCTAATAATATTTCACCACGATCTAAATGACCTGATTCAAATATTTTTACGTCACCAAACCGTTTCTCTCCAAT